CGATCCATACCCTGAAGAATTTTGTCCATGCCTTTGGGGCCCAATGTTGTTTTTACAATATCTGCAACAGAAATAGCACCCATAATATTCATCAAACGCGCGCGCTCTCCCTTCTCCTCCGACGCTCCTTCTCGAAGCACTTGCTGTGCCTGATTTGCAAAAAGCATTGTTATTTATTGTAGCTTATTTCTGATTTAAAATAAATCCCTACGATATATATATTACAAGAAAAAAAAAAAATGTTATATTTCCAAAAACATAAATAATATATATATATTATATGGTTAATGAAATCATTTCCGTTTCATGAAAGCAAATTTACAGAAAAAACATTCATCCAAAACTTTTCTTTCTAATTATTTTTAAAACAGTCAAAATGCATTCTCAGCAAATAACAAGTACTTATTTATTTTGCTTCTTAAAACTCATATGGAAAACACCAATAATAAAAAAATTTTTTTTCTTATAATACTAATAATAATAATAATAATACATCCGCAGTAATTAAAAAAAGATCGCATTTTACTTTTACTCTTTTGTTATATATAAATATATAACTATTCCACATGCACAATTATATTCAAGTGATGTGATCCAGTCTCTGCCTTAAAAAAATTCCTCATGAAATGTGTGACTGAAAAACGTATTTTGCTGTGATCAGCTCGAGCACGTGCTAACACCCTTATTGCGCAATATGCCGATTCGTTAGGTGCGGTTGAATGAGGCCATGCACAAATATTTTCTACTGAATCTACATCTTCAATGTCCTTGATGCCAGCAATAGCTTTCTTTAAAAAATTTTCCTCGTCATATGGATATCCACCCAAAAGAAGTACCTTTCCGGTTTCTTCCAAAAGAGGGAAGGCTGAAAAAGCTATAAATACACAACTAAGAAGACTACATATCGGGTCAACAATTTTCATACCGGTAAGAGAAATTACTATACTTGATATCATAACATTTATACTACCCACAAGATCCGCCAATATATGCAAGTAAATCCCTCTCAAATTATGATCCACAGAACCCGAACATCCATCATGGGAATGGGAGTGAGAGCCCACACCGTGGAAAAATGCGACACCAACAATGTTTACAATTAGACCAACAACAGAAACATGTATTAGATACGCAGCGTTAATATCAGGGGGATTCATTATTCTTTCCACCGATTCGACTACAACAAACAATGCTATAAAAAGTAAAAGCACAGCATTAATAAATCCCCCCAAAACTCTATATCGAGCATAGCCAAATGGATGTGTCATTTTATCACTAGCTAACGACGAAACAAAAGCTGCAAATAAACCAACTGCAATTGATACCGAGTCTAATAGCATATGAAAAGAATCCGAGACTAAGCCCAAAGAATTAGCTGAAATACCATAAAGCAGTTCGAGGACCATCACAGCTACCGTAAGAAGAAAAAAAGAAAATAACCTTCTCTCACGCTCTCCTTGAAAAAAGTAATTAAACGCATCGCCAACAAATGCTAAAATACCATTCCGGTTCGTTAAAAAAGATGAAGGCTCCAATAAAGGCAGTCCATTATTACAATACATTGAATTCAGAGAACAGATCAAAAATATACAAGCACTGATCATAGCTAAAAAATCACCATAGTCAAGAGTCCTAAAACCAATATTCAAAATACAGCCTCCTAAAAGAAGCACCAAAACCTCATTCACACCAAAAGTCACGGGTGTAGCTCCAAATCTTAAGTCAAATAGTGCTTTCCCACACCCCGAAATAATGGAAAGTAATGGAAACAAAAGCCATGGATAGGAAGAAACAAACGTTGTATCAACAAAAAAAAACATCCAACCAAAAATGGACAACTCTACAGATGCAAACACCTGCTCAAAAAATCTCAGCCAAGAATTATTCTCCCTAAAACAATGAAACTCAAAAAAATTTGCCAATATCACAGAGAGAACTAATCCAGCAAGCGCAAAAGTCAAGAGTGAAATATCCCCATTCTTCTTAATCAAAATCCCCAGGAACAGCAGAAGTGTACTGAGTGTAGAGACTCCAAACCAAATCAACTTATTCCTCAGGTTCTCGGTTTGCAAGTATTTCCCTTGAAGTACAAAAGCACAGTAAAACAATATTGAAAAAATAGGCTCAATTTCTTTTAAAATATACAATAAAAAACCACAAATATAAGCTCTAAAAGTTCCCATTAAAATTGCATAAAAAAAATGTGGAAAAAAACAATTGTAAACGTCTCTGGCGTTTTCTCTAATCTGCACTAGATGTATCAATGCCTCACCCATAGAAACCAAACCCCCAACCCATAAGAAGTGAGCCTGGGAATTTTTAAGAATAAAACTTTGTGCCAGGATTGTTCCGGCAAATCCAGCAGCAACAACAAAAGATAGCATAAAGAACTTCCCTTCCTTATTAGACTTTTCTATTTTTTTATTGTTGTTGCTACTGGTAACGTTCAACCCAATTTTCTAGCACCAAAAAATCTTAGAATAAGAAATCCTTTCGAAAAATAAAAAGAAAAATAAAAAATTAATGAAATGGATTCAAAAAAGCAAGAATTATCCCAAAAAGAAGTAGTGCTTCTCAAAACACAGAAAAAAGATTGTGTAAAAAGAAATACATTCTTTAACCACACACAATATACAACAAGAAGAATTTTCAGCCTTTTACAGCCATTTTCTTTCCTCAGAATAATCTTCGGGGCAGCTGGCCGGATCCTGAAAATCTATGGAAAACAAACAAGTTAGGAAAAAGGGTTCTTTAGTTAATTGCTTCAATATTTTCCTTTCATTCAATATATAGAATTCTCTGGACCACCAGCATGGTCCTTTGTCCTCAGTTAGGATTAACATATTATTACTTACGAAGTGGCAGACTTTGGGGTCCTCCAACCACAAGACCCCGCCGCTCCCCTTCGCAAGTTCCACCCCTTCGCCAAGTCCTGAAGTGCAAAAACACAACCGCGTGATATGCCGTCTGCGGGGGTTTTCCGCAGACCGCACGTAGGCAAAAGGATGCCTGCACTCCGCGAGAGTCAACAAACATATCCGTCGCAGCTCCCACGTCATGGCGTGTGATTTTGGGCTGCCTTTATTCGCAGCTCCTTGCAGCGAAGTGTTGTCCACCCAAATGTCCATGGTGGACGGCAAGATGGCGGAAAAGGCCGATAAGGCCAAGCGTACCGCGTGCATCGGCCTGCATGATAAGAAAAGGTTTCCTCTCCCATTTCCCCCGGCAGTTTTAGCGTAAACAAAGTCTGGGATGAAAACGGCGCCCCATCCATGGAGCGATGCGTCCGTGATGATGGCGGCCGATGCTTTTTCGTGGAATTGATGATTCGCCTGCGATTGTTCTCGATGATGTGTCGCAATCTCTCGCCCAAGCCAACCGCTGACGGCAGAAGGTTCACCGGGGATGTCTCCCGCACAATTCCCCGGTAAAGTGCGGACAATCGTCGTCGCACTGCCTTGATGAAAAAGTATTATGCACAAAAGTGTGCACAAAATGGCCGCCGCATACAAAAAGCGTGACGCCATAACCTCCATTCCCGCGATGGTTGAAGAATTGAGTGACGGCACGGCGCATACAGACCGGACAAACCTTCCACTCAGGGATACCGCCCGGTGTGCGTGACCAAGCTGCACCCCCAGGAAGGTGTACTGCGTGGCGCCCGATTCGCGGTCCTCCCTATCGTGGCGTGACAACTGTCCGCATTACGAAGCACTTGGGCCTCCCACAATGTCGCGTCGCTTTTCGACCCTGCAATGCGTATATTACCGATCCATACGTCGATACGCACCGATGGAGGTGCGGCCCAGAGGCGGTGAACCACCGTCGTCACCCCCGCAATTGCCGAAGTAATAATAATCTGGAGAATTTCTGGGCCGGCCTTGTATCCCACTGGGTGCCGTGTCAGCTCCACCAGCGTACCGTCCTCCACGCGGCATCGAAAGAGATGCCGAGTCTCCCGCGGCAAAGAAACACGAAAAAAGGATGCCTTTAAGTCCAGGCAGGAAGCGGCCTCAGCCATCGCAGGCGGCAAATAATGGGAAATGTGTAAAAGAGGAACATTCGCCTCGTAAGGGTCGTCTCGGTTCTTGTCGCGCGGCCACGCGATCCATCGTCGTCGTAAGCCGTTGGTTTTCTCCTCCACAACCGAGAAAGGGTATTATCCATCCGCCTGTTATTGTGGACGAAGCCTCCTCGATTATTCCTGCTTTTCGTAACAAATGCGCGTCAGCGGTTGGAATCCTCCGTGAGCCTTCGCACGCTTTACCGGAGGAAGACGGAGGGAAAGTGAGCCGCCCGACGAGTCCCCAAACTTGCATGAGACTCTCCAATGTCGCCGGGTTCAACCGGCTTTTAATCCACTCCAGATTCAATACGGGCACGTTGACTTGCTGCCGCAACGGGATAGCGTGTTCATCTTGTGGGGTGGCCGGACGCGTCCTTTTCGCGCGTCTCGTCATTGCAGCAGCATGATTGTGATTAAAATCACGGAAAAAACGCTCCTCCGCTCTCAGCCAGAGTTCCTGCCCTTCCGCAGTTTCTCCCTTCACATCAATGCGACCAGCGGCAACACCTAGTTCAGCATTGTGGTGTACCTCCACAAATAACAAACTGTGTTATGGGGAAGGTCGAACGGATTGACGTGCTTCGCCAACTGCGAGATCACATGTGGATTCAAATCGTGTGTCTCCACGATTGGAGCAGCGTGCCTCAACGCACCGTGTTTTATGGAATGCGCCGTGGCGCACCAAGGAGCCAGAGCTCTTTCGATTTGAACGGTCGTAATATTCGTGAGCTTCTCGTTGCGTCGAAGTGTCCTGCATAGCTTTATAGTGTCTAACACGCCCTGCCCTCGTATCCTCACGAACCGCAAGGCGCGGTGGGGATCCGCTCTCGCCGTCTCTCGGCGCCACGGAACAATCCAAAATTAAGGCCCCGTCCGCCTCCAGTGTGAAATTTTTGGCTGTCAAGGCCGCAATCTCCAACCAACGACTCGCCGTTATCCACGCATGTCGAAAAACAACACACTGCTTCCAATCGGTCCGGCTGCGGATACATTCCTCGGTCCCTTTCTTTGTCGAGGGGCGCGCCTGCTTCGTCTCCGATCGCGCCGCGATTTTTTGTAACCTCAAAGCCGCCATTTCCAGCGGGGTTCAATCCATTTGCAAAATGGACCGCAGCATCCTGGCGTGGCGCAGTCGGGTCGATGGCGCCACTTCGATTGCCATCAAAAAGGTCACGCAGCTCTCCTCGTTCATCGGTTGTTCGTGCGTGCGGCATAAGGTTGTGAATTGCCCCGCTAGAGGCCTTCTCCGCTACCACACTGACAGCGCACACATCTCTCGAGTCGCCTCGTTCGCTCCCCTCATGTAGCTTGTCCAAAGCGGGGATGTCGGTAATTCGTCGTACCACAGCCGAGCGTCGTTGGCGGATAAGCTCCATCGCTCTTCCCGACGATTGCGTCGGGCAACTTGAAACATTGGATGGAGCATCGGCGGTGCGGTGCGGATAGGTGGGAGGTGGTAAAATGGATGGGGCTGCCGTCGCCAGCATTCATGAGCGGCGTGCGGCAGCCCCTCGGCCGTTTTTTGAAGGGCGCCTGTATTGTGAGTAATTCCCTCTGCTGCGCGCATTGCGTGTAGATGCCTTGTGTCCATGGGTATGACATCGCTGGCATCGCACAGTGCGCTGGGTTTCTCGCCGATCGACGAGAGGCTGGGCTGCCCTCGTATGGGTATCCGTCTGGTGAACAGCAGTGTAAAGACGGGCGCGCGGTTTGGAAAGCCGGATGCCGGGATCGGACGCAATCGTGAGCTGCATCCGGAATGTGTTCAGTAGGGACCTCCCCAAATTCATGATTCGATCGGTGGGATCCTGCAGGCCTTCCAGTGCGCTGATCCACTCGACCAAATTGCCAAAGGCAAGTTTAACCTGCTCGTTGTCCTGTTGCCGGCATTGGTGTGCGCACCGGAGGTCGATAATGACTCCGGAGGCGCCCTCATTCCATACACGCGAGGGCCACGTAGCGACGTCGAATGCGCAGAAACCGCGGTCCTCTTCCATAGGCAATCGGGCGTCCAGGGGAGAAGTGCGGGAGGGCAACGGCGTGGAGGGGTGGAAATGTGGTCTCGCAGCATTACCGTGAGGGGGCCTGTAAGCCGCCGAGCTGTGTCGGGCCGCGCTGCTAGGCACGCCTCCCGCCATCAAGATATTCGTTTGTTGCGGTATTGTAGTTACGCCATCGTTGAAAACGTGTCGAGTAGCGGGGGACTCGTCCCGCCCCGCCGTCTCCGCATCCCGCGCGGGTTGTTGTGCATTAATGCGTGCCCCCGTTCCTGGAATTGACCAGTGAGGACTCCCAAGTTGAATTCGCGCTCCCGTAATTGGGCGCGATCGGCCTCCAACTGCTGTTGTAGTTCTAGGACCTGGTTGCCGGCCCCGGCGATATTGGATTCCCTTACCAATAGGTTGTGATGCGCCTCCTCAACCTGCGAGTTAAGCTGAGCATTTCGATTCTGCACGTCCGCGACGGCGTTCGCGTAATCAAAATTTAGGCGCTCCCTTTCAGCAGTGATGAGCCCTTGTTGGTGCCCCAACTCCCGGGCTGCCCCCATAGCGGGCAGGAGCGCGTGTGTCTCAGAATTAGGGATCTGAGGCGCCCGGAGATTCGCAATATGTCCAACGAGAGTAGAATCCTGCCATGCTTTAGATACAGGTCCATGGAACAAGCATAAGCCTGTGGATGATGGGGCCACGGTCACCGTCTCATCCGACATCTGGTTACCATTAATAAACGTCAACTGTGCCTGGGTCTCGCCACATTGGCACACCATGTCCCAGAGACGGGCGCCAATATCACACCACTCGGAGGGTGTGTGGGGAACCAAAGTCATTTCCTTAAACTTACCTGGCTGTGTCTGTAAAAAATAAAAACAAATATTATCTGACCTCTATCGGCTCCCGCCCCTACAAAGTCGCGTTCTTGCCAAAAGATTCATACGGTAGAAAGTATCATAAAGAATGCCTTCGTTTATCAGGATATAAACATACATTAATTAAGCTAGCCAGCTCTCCCGCGATCATTCTTTTCACAAGCTCCTAGGAAATAAAAAACACAAAAACAACAACAACAACAAAAACGCTGTGTCTGTTAAAGCAACAAGCCGGGCCGTCGCCTCGCCGGCGTGTCTCCATGCCGGCTCCGACGACAACCCCGAGGCACGCACCAACAAATGCCACCCACCCGCCCCCCGTTGATTCCCACCACGCGGCGGGGTCTTGTGGTTGGAGGACCCCAAAGTCCGCCACTTCGTAAGTAATAATATTTCAAATCCTAACTGAGGACAAAGGACCATGCTAGTGGTCCACGGAATTCTATATGTTGAATAAAAATAAAACATTGAAGCAATTAACTAAAGAACCCTTTTTTCCTAACTTGTTTGGTTTCCATAGATTTTCAGGATCCGGCCAGCTGCCCGGACGATTATTCTGCTTTTTTTTTTTTTTTTTTCGGGTGGTTCTTCGCACTCACCTTGCTTTATTTGCATATTTTTTTTTTTTTTTCTGTTTGTCGTCCTTTTGCTTTGGGGGATAGTGTTTCTTTGATTTCATTACAATTTTGAGGGCGGTTGACCTCAGCGCGCGTTTACATAGCGTCGAATTTATTTTCCCGCGTTGCATTTCCCGAAAACTGTTTCTCATCATCCATACGTTTGTGGAGATGCTGTTATTTTGAGAGTTTTCCAAAGATTTTCTCTTAAGGCATTTCTGAAGTGCCTTTTTCTGCGTGCGCGCATGTGGGTAGTGGATGGTATGTTATAACTCAATTAAGTTATTATTTACACTTTTGTAGTATAATACGTATTTTTCTTTATTGTCCATTTCTTTGAACGAATATAATGTATAAGCATTAAATATATTATTTAGCTTTCTGAAGCTAGATCCATTCAAGTTTTTTTTTTTTTTCTTTGGAGTCTGTTTCTGGTGCAAAGTGGGGGCCAGATGTCGTGCTTTCAGTTGGACTGTGAATGTGACTACAAAGAATTCAAACGAACAATATACTATCACGCGGAAGACTTTACCATCCCAGATTGTTCGCCCGCATCACACTTTAGCGTGTGCGAACGGGTCTATGAAAAGGCTGTGAAGGAGTTGAAGGCGAGAAATTTTGATCTTGCTGCCTTCTATTTTGCCCGATGCATGTCGATTATCGAAAGGGCCAATCTTCGACCGCAAGTGAGTGGTGCAAAAAAACTAATGTGGAATTGTTTAGAAGCTCTGGAACGGTTAGATAAAAATGAGTTGTTGGAACATCACTCCAAATTGCTACAAAAGGTTAGGCAACATGAGGAAGAAAGGAAGCGTATTGTCGAACAACAACTTCTTCCTGATGAAGGTGAGCAAGAATCATTGGAAGATAGGCATCTCAGGCGACAGCAAGAGCTTTTGCTGAATGAGAATACGGTAGTAGATGATGCATTAAAAAGAATAAGAAATGTACAAATACCTACACCGTACTCTCAAACCAATAAGGATGTGCAACCCTATTGGCATAAACCCAGTGTTGAGCAACTTGAGATTAAGAAGAATCAGATTGCTCCCCCAAGAAGGATTCCAACTATATCACCTAACGCTTACCTTGTTTGGAAATTTAATGTTGGCTCTTTTTCTGTCTCTACCCCTAGACGGGGGATGGTGAATCTGGGTAACACTTGCTATCTTAACAGTGTTACTCAAATGCTTTCAGTGACTTCCCTAGGAGCGTATTTTCTTCGAGATGATTACACAAAAGACATTGTTGGGGCTGATAAAGGAGAAGTAAGGCTTGTGAATTCCTTTACATATATACTACGTGAACTACACCGAACTGATTTTGCCACTCCAGCTAGTCCATCACATTTTAAAGATTCTATCGGCGGTCTTTATACTTCATTTTTAGGTTACTCACAACAAGATGCAAATGAATTTCTTCGTCTTTTGTTGGATGGTATTCATAACAGCTTAAATGATCGGAAAAGGTTGGATAATAATATTTCTGAGGTGGATACAACAAATGGCAGTGATGTGGAAATATCGGGGCGTACATGGTCTCAATATAAACAAAAGAATAATTCAGTGATTGTAGATGAATGTGCATTTCAAGAACGAAGTTCAATTGTATGCCCTTCTTGCCACCAAATTAGCAGGACTTTTACCCCTTCATTAGGGTTAGAAGTGCCTATCCCTTCTTCTTCGGGTCGGGTAAGCATCGAAGATTGCCTAAAAGCATACTGCAAAGAAGAAGTACTGGATTCAGAGTCATTATACACATGTCCATCTTGTAAACAACGTGTTAATGCGTCAAAACAACTTTTGATATACTCACTACCCAGGATATTGTTTTTGACCATGAAACGGTTTCGCAGTTATGGTGATTTTTCAAACAAAGTTCTTGAACCTGTGGTTTTTCAGAAGGAACTAAATATGTCTCCTTTCATGTGTTCTCCTGGAAAAAATACAAATTATACCCTTGTTGGAGTTGTGAATCATCGAGGAAATATTCATGGTGGACATTATACCGCAGACTGCCTTGGTGCTGATGGTATCTGGTTTTCATTCAGCGATGAAAGAGTCTCCAGGGCCGACAGTCCAGACTTTCAACTTGCGTATATATTGTGCTATAGGCGCAGTGATTGAGGACAACAATGCAACCGAGAAAAAGATTGGAATGACTGATATTTTGTGTATCAAGGAACGAATTAATTCAAATCAAAAAAAAAAAAAAAAAAAAAAAAAAAAAATGAGTTTTTGAATATGCTTCTTTTTTATTTTTATTTTATTTTCTCTCCTTTTTTAACAGGTGTAAAACATTGGGTCTAGGTTTTAGTTTTGGTTCTAGTTTTTTTTTTTTTTTTTGCTTGTTTTTTGTTTCTTTTCTTGATGGGAGAGACATGCTCAAAGACCGCGAATGCGGCAGCATTAGAAAATCGTCGTATTCAACGAGAAATTCGTCTTGGAATTTTGCCAGTATCGCGTCCAGTCTCACCATATACGTCCCCACAAGCATCGCAAACAACTTTGAGTGCGCGCCAGGTTCATGGTCCTATTGGTCAAAGAAAAGTCTCCCCATCGGATAACAGGTCACGTGCGTTGTATACTCTTCCTCGTAGAGGTTTTGAGAATAGCACTTCTTCTGTTGGGCGTGGACCACATAATAATGCCGTACGAATAAGTCCTTCATTGCCCCATTTTGCTTCTAATGAGCGTTCACCTATGCGACCGGGAATGTGTTTTCCATCAAAAGCTACACATCAGCCAAGCGGCACCATGGGTGAAAACGTACCCAAAAGATTGCATTGGTTAAATAAAAGTGGGAACTTGAAATCAAACGGTGATGCCGGGATGCATCGAGATTTTCTAAAAGAGGATAAAAAAATCAAACCGGTAATTAGACAAGCCTTGAATCTACTATGTGTGGAGGAGATAAGGTGCCGAACTGAAATTTCAAATGAGGCGACGACACAACTTAAGAAATTAGAAGATAAACTTACCTCCATTGCTGATTTAGAGTCTATTCGCGCATCGGTATTGGAAATTATAAAATTGCAAACTAAATCACGTGAGGCTGTTATTGAACAAGAATTAACGGAGAGAAAGCTTTTATTTGTTTGGATGAACCAAACAGTTGAAGAGGATAGATTGAAAGCTCTTATTGATGCAACAAAAGAACGGCACCAGAATTCCGTATTTGTTTGTCCCACCTCTTCAAGAAGTGGATCCAGATTTTTTGCGTCATATGAAAGACCACATTCACAGGCAGTCGAGATACGAGAAAAGTCACCTTTGGAGAGCATTGCTTATCATGATCCTTGTAATAAGGAAGCGACGAAGGAAAAGGATTTTTTCAAGAACAAGATTAGTTATTCAAAACCTGTTTGTTGTCGTAATGCTTTCATTGAAGAGGATGTACAAAGTGACGATCTCAACCGCAAAATAGGACGCCAAACTTATTTGATGCATCAAACTATCCCTTCATATTCTTACAAAAATATGGATATTGTGCCTGATGTGTATTCCAGTAATTTTCGCTTAGGTCGAGAACGTGATGCCTCGGAATTTTTGCCCTCAGACCAAATTTCACCGCGCTTTTTGCCAAATTTTTCAGAGGAAGGGCGCTCTTTTTCATCTTATAGATCCACAGTTCTTGATCCATTCAAAACTCCTCGAAGAACACCTGTGGAATTAAAAAATGATAGCGATTTGGCGATGAGGAGGAGACTTGCCGCTCTTTTGTTGGTGTAGTTATTTTAGGCCTTTTTAACTTGTCTCCATCATTTTTATTGGTGTTGTTGTTTTGATCTATTTGAGGTCCTTTGCGTGTACAAGATCGATCTTATATATATTGTCCTGCCTTACTGTCTGCTTTATCACAACAGACTGTTTTTCTGTATTTTGTGAATTGTGTAGCGATATTAAGTCTAAAATAATTTTAAAAAAAAGATGGGGGGAGGAAGTGTAAATAATTCTTATATGTGTTTTACCTGAATTATGCTCCTGATTTATTATTTTTTCCTTTTTTTTTTTTTTTTCGGTGTGTGTGTGTGTGTGTGTGTGTTTACGCATTCCATTTTTTGATTTCAAAGAAGACTGTGTGCATTTTTACTAGGCATGAGGCGTTCTTGCTTTTTATTTTCACAAATTGTTGATGTTGTCTCTGCTTTGACGGAAAAACGAAATTATAGCGTAAAACTATGCAAAGTGCTTCTTTTCCCATCGCCACCGCTTCGCTCATTGTCCTTTGCTCCACCTCCCAAATGGACTTCAGAGCTTTCTAGAAGACTTCAAAAACAGTTTCCTGAAATCAAACGACAGCACCATGTTCTTTATCTACGCGCCTTTATACATCCTAGTTTCACCACATCTGATGCGATGAATTCAACAATGAATGCAACAACTTCTATAGGTGAGGCGTTACTGGCATCTGTCGGGGAGTGCTTGATTGTAAACGCCTTTAGAGATCTGAAGCGCGATGAAGTGCTTCTATTAATGTCGTTTTTATTATCCGATGCAACACTTAGTTCAGTATTGCGGTATCACTGGGAAATGGAAGATATGGTGCTCACAGATGCTTCAGTACAGCTATTTCAAGGAAAAACATTAAGGTCTACGGCGGGTCTTATGCAGTGGTTGTCATCAAGTGGGAAACAACAGACTCCCGATCCTTATTGTGCGGGCTGTGTGAAGTCTATGATTGGAGCTGTTTATCTAGACAGAGGTTTAGAAGAGGCAGCGGCGTTTATTTACAAGCATGTCTTGCAGAATATATCTTAAGACTGCCATTTTTTATACACCACTAATAATAATAATAATTATTATTATTATTATTTTTTGCTTGGTTATTGCAACTTATTATTATTATTATTATTATTATTATTATTATTATTATTATTATTATTATTATTATTATTATTATTATTATTATTATTATTATTATTATTATCTGCATTAATATTTACGCAGTGTTTTGAACAAATTTTATTTTGTAACGGGAATGTTTTTTTCGATATAAAACTTTTTTTCCCCTGTTTTTTCTGTTTATTACTATGTTTATATCTTTTTTAAAGGACAATGGCATCTTCGATTACTTCCATTGGAACTCAGGAATCTGAAGAACTTTGTTTCCTTGAGGCATACGAAGAGGTGGCTCCTACAAAAACGAAGGAGCAGTTGATTGAAGAACAACTGCAAGAATTGTACAATTACCAATTCACAGTTCCTGAACTCCCCGAAGATGATCCTTCTGGGAAATTGGCCTACTTGGATGCGTGCGAAAAGCTGCATAAAGAGTCATTCATGAAATTTCCAACCCGAAGTGTTGCACGAAGAATCTGCGATGGAAAAGAATCACTTGACCTCAGTTTTTTTGGACTCAAAAAAAAAGGCAGCATCGCTTTGTCTGCTGCTCTACGTGTTAATCTCTCTATCAAGACTCTCTCTCTTGTTGGAAATCATATAACACCTGCAGGGGCAATGGAAATAGCGCGATCACTATCAGAGTCAAGAACTGTGACTTTGCTGGATTTTGGTCAGAACAAGTTGGGAGCTCGGGACCCAGGAGAAACGGTTCGGGGTGGCGCAGTAGTGGCGGAACTACTTCGAGCCGGTAATGTATTGAAAACATTGTCACTACGTGACAATGGGTTAAGCGATCAGCATATTGCAGAGTTTGTTGAGGTTGCAATAGACAACACGGAGTTGAATTCTCTTGACCTTAGCTTTAACAAAATTGGTTACCTTGGTGCAATTGATGTTGCCCAAATTCTTTCTCGTAATGGAGACCTACGTGAAATTAATCTAGAGTGGAATCAATTTCAAACAATGGGAAGTTGCCATATTCTCAAAGAGGGGCTGTTAATGAATAACACAATCAAGCGCTTCAACTTAAGCTCAGATGGTTTGGACGACAACTGTGCGCAACTTGTGGGTCGAATTATTGGTGAAAACGCCATTGAGGAAATTATTATAGCGCATAATAGAATTGGTCCTATTGGCGCTGAAGCTATCGCAAAGGGTTTGTTGGCTACCTCCGCACTCACCACTCTTATTTTAGATGACAACCCCCTCCAAACTGAGGGATGTTCTGCGCTTATTCGTGTTGCCGCAGAGGCCAGTTCCCTTAAGCATCTCAGCATGCAACAATGTCGGTGTATTGTCGATTTGTTACTGGACGCGGAAAGGTTGACGAAGGAAGCTCGACAAGACATTGTTATTTTGATATCTGAGGACTGCTGTGCCAAAGAAGGGATGTAGAGAGATTTCAAAAAAAAAAAAAAAAAAAAAAAGGAAAAGAAAAGAAATAAAAAAAAAAAGAAAAGAAGCATTCTTGATCGATGTACCGTGAAACTTGAGAGGCAAACAAACATGGATTGGTTTCCTCTGTTCGTTTTTTTTTCTTGCTCTTTATTATTGTTAAACAGGATGTATTGTTGATATGCTGGGCGTTGGCAAGCTATTATTTTTGACATATATATATATATTTTGCTTCATTTGTTGCTGAGAACAATAATAATAATAATGGGCCCTTAGCACACGATGATTGATGATATTGAAGCCACACTGAACCGCATGTTGGCGTTTCCTTCAGGGGCGTCGTCACTGGACGCGGCGATAAAACTAAAAAACATTGCCCTGGCTCTGGAATTAGCGGAACAAATTCCTCTCCTGACGGAGACATGCATGTCGCTTTGCGTTGAATTGGCTGAAAACACACCTCCCCAGGTTGCTACCGTTCATTCCGTGCTGAGTTTATTGGCTCGGTTTTGTATGCGAGAGGAAAACAGGGGTCTAGCAACACGCTTTGGTGTTTTTAGCCTATGTGTTCTCATTCTTCAAGATCATAAGAGTTTACCTGAGGACACAATTTTTGCCGTTTTTGACTTGATTAGTACGCTATGTATGAATGACGGGAACGTACGTCGAATGTTGCGTCCATCTATTCCTTATATAATAGAGATTATGAACGATAGTACAAGTTCACTCCAATTAGCGTTTGGAGGTGCGGTTGCCTTGGCCACCTTGACTATGCTTGATGCGGACAATGCAACCCTTGCTGTAGAACGAGGTTCTGTTCAACTTTTGATATCTTCTTTTATCAGGGCATATGATAGAAAAAAGGAAATTGATTGTCAACACATTTGTCATGTGTCACGGTGTAAAAAAGAAGAGGAGCAGCAGCTGTGTGAGAAGGTTATGCGTTGGTCACGTGATGCCTTGCAGAAACTGGTTCAGTCTCCTTCTCATGCTGTAGATGAGAAGTTGGAAGAGGCGGATTTTGGCAAGTACGGCAGCCGCGTTGAGGTGGACGAACTAAAATGGATGTTGAAGTTTCAGCGGAGAAAAGTGAGTGTTATTCATCCATGAGGTGCGCACTGCTAGAGGATGGAGCGGGGGAGAGTACGCGTGAGTACATTTCTGTGTCTGTCTGTACTGTCGCATGAAAACACCTCGTAGAAGAGATGAGCGCGGCTTGCCTTTGTTTCTGTCTCGAGTGCGTGTGTGTGTGTGTGTGTGACCGTTGTTGCTGTTGGTTGATTTGTTATTAGGTGTTATGTTTTAATTTATTTACATGTGGTTTTGTCTCTGCCCTCTCTACTGTTTCACTCGCACTGAAAAGAAAACAACCGCGAAATATATATATAGAGAGAGAGAGGGAAAAGGAGTAAATTAAGAGAACTGAACCAAGACAGTCCCAACTTCAACATCATGAACAGCGCTGTAGACTCATTGTTGATGCGCCTCAAGTTATCGGATTTAATTCCGAAGTTCAAGGAGATGAAGCTGGATCGTATTGTGAACCTGCGCAAGCTGAGTGAAGAAGAACTCCGCGAGGCTGTTCCTGACGATGAGCAGAGGAATCTTATCATTCACGCCATTTCAAACCGTGGGACGCACGAAAAGAGACAGCAGTCACAGGCAGCAAACATCAATCCTCCACGCAACGCGGATGACGGGGGTCGTGTGGGCATGTCTTTTCCACGTGGCTCCACACGCGGTGGCATGGGGCGTGGTGTAAGCCGTGGTGGTCGTGGCGGAGGCAGCATAAACAACAACAGCAACAGTGAGACGAACACCTCGTTCCCGGGTCGTCAACGTGCGTGCAACCACTTCTTTTCAGGAGAGTGCAAGTTCGGTGACCGCTGCCGCTATAGTCATGACAAGGAAATTTATGATAGGGAAATGGCGGAAAATGGGCCTCGGCGGCCTAACGATTCTGTTAGCAAGCCGAAAGACTACTCTGAGGTCTGTGAAATTCCTACGCATCGCATCAAGTTTTTACTTGCTAAGAAGGCTGAACGTCTCAAGCAGATTCACATCCAAAATCATACACACAACGAACCATTTAAGCGCGTCGACTCAAACGTTGAGAAGTTTGAGTTGGTAGTGTACGGTCCTGACCCTCAATCTGTTCTGCAGTCAAAGAAGATGATTCTTTCATACGTTGGTGTGACAAAACAGGAAGAGCAAAAGAGTCGCTTGCAGTACACAATCAATGAACTGAGCAGTAATCAGCACGCGGCCAAGCTTCTAGCTGCTTGCAATATCAAGAACGAGGGGACCGCCCGTGAACTCTCGGAAGAGACGTTAAAAAGCATTATTTCCTTTTTCCGTTTTGAGAAGCAACAGGACGTTCGTCACTTTTATTTGAACGTCAACCACGACCGTGTCAAACTGGATAAGGTGGCCAAAATAGTAGCCCAGTTACGGGGCGTTCAGGCCATCATGTTCAGCGATCAGAAGCGTGTGATGGAGATGAGTAAGGTGGCCTCAAAGATTGCACGCTTTTTCAATGGTGTGACACCACTGTTTTTGCATCGTGAAATTCCAAAGGAGGAACGCATGCGAATTCTCCAGGAGTTCAAGGATGGTGAGGAGAATGAGAGTGGCATTCGCGAGCGCCTGCTCATCACCAATGAGGACTATGCAAAACTGGCACGAAAAACTCTTATTCCGTACGTTAACCTTGTCATCAACTACGTGGTACCACGGACAGAGGAGTACTACCTACTTCAGTCACTCGTAGCGGGACGCAGTGACACAGTAGGGGTTTCTATTCTCTGCGTTAGTCCATACGATCAGTCCACTTTCCACGAACTGCAGCAAAAAATTGTATTTACGGCAATTGAAGAGGAGAGCGATTTTATGGAGACGGCGGTACAGCTGGTGTATGACACGACAGCGAATCCACTGACTGACGAAGACGCCGATCCACCAAGGGACTGGAAGGAGAAGTTGGAGAAGAAGAATGCATCCGCCTAGGAACGAATTTTTGTGGTTGCTTCTTCTCCATGACTGTCCGACGAATAACTAGCACTGTGATGAAAATAAGTGAGAACGCGCACGGAAGGAAGGGACTAAAAAAAAAAAAAAAACACACAAACAAAAAAAAAAGTATATTATTTATATTTATATTTATATGAAAGGCAAAAAAATAAAAAAGGAAAAAGGAAAAAGAGGGGACGAGAGAAATTTATTAAGAAATGGAAGGAGAAGCAAAGAAACGAAAGGGGATAAACTGTTCCTTCCGTTTTCCAGGCTCTCCCTCTTTCTTACATCTTTCCCTTTTTTTACTTCTTTTTCTTCTTTTTTTTCCTTTTATCTGCATTTCTTCTTGACTGTTCATTCCCGTTTCACATTCACTCACCCCCTTCCTTTGCAATCGTTTAGTGTTCTGAGGGAGGAAGAAATGCGCCCCTTCATTTTTTTGTTTTTGTTTTGTTGTTGTGGTGGTGGTTTGCGGCGTGAGTGTTTGATGTGATGTGCGTTTGGTTCTGGTACCCTGAGCATGAGGAAGTACGAGCGCCAGTTGGATCAGGAAGAGGTGAAGACGGGGGGAAAAAGGAGATACAACCAAACAAATATAATAAAATCACGGACGCGGTGCGGTGTGTGTGAAAAGCGGGCGATTAGTAAGCAACGAGGGGTGAAGGGGGGTAAAACAACAATAATAAAAAAAGGAAAACGAAAAGAGGAAAGTGAAACAAATCAACAACATGAATGCACAGACATACAACGCGTTCCTGAGAAGGTGAGGGGAGAGGCTGAGGCAATTAAAAAAGAACAGTAAAAAATTGTAAGAGTAAAAGAAGAAGACTGTGGAGGGTAGATGAGAGAACCAGACTACACAGTGGAACGCGCATACACATAGACAAGGAATGCGAATAAAGAAAGATAAAAAAACAAAAAAGAGCTAAAAGAGGGGAAGGAGATGCATGCAACAGGGCAGAGGAAAGAAGGAGGCAGATAGGGAGAGTGTTTCTGTACGTGTGTGTGTGTGTGAAAGAATGGGTGAATGGAGAAATGATGCGGAGGTATATGAGAGAGAAGTAAAGAAGGCTAAAAACACAAAGACATAGGAGGAAAAGTATGAATAATAGGAGGATGCATGCTGGTAATGTGGCTGAAGCAACTGGAGAGGGAAGTCCTTACAATAACGAATAAGCCAATTCGAGGAGGGGAAAAGAAGTAACTAGGGAGAGAGAGAGAGAGGGAGCGAAAGAAAAAAATGATTGATGGATGTTGCAGAAGGGGGAGGAAAATTAAAGATATAAAAGAATGGCCGAGAGAAGCGAGCTGATTAATGTAAATGACGAGGGGAAATTGAAATAGGAGCGGGATGAGATGAGGATTGGGACTTCATTGCTGGGAGATATAAGAAGAGTGATGGTGGAAAGTCCAGGGGAGAAGGGGGAGAGAACAAAAGGAAACGTTGAAGACAAGCACAGATTTATTTATGCCTACATCTGCGAGATGCACAAGTAGACATACATTCTTTGGGAATTTCTCTATTTAACTGTTTATTTCGGCCGTCTTGTTATTTTGCACTGCGTCAGGTAACCCTCATGCGTATTGCTTTTTTTTTTTTTTTTTTTTGTACCTTCGGCCTTTAATTTTCCCATTTCAATTCACGCATCCACAGACGCGCGCGTGCACACTTTTTCGCTCGCTCTCCCTTCCCCTTCTTTTTGTTGTTTTTTACGAACTGTGGGTGACCCCTGCTTTGTTGTTTTCTTTCTGCTCTCTCTCTCTCCCTTCTCAGTGTCTGTCTCTGTGGGTGGTGGGTGGGTGTGATGTGGATCGGTTTGGCTACACGGAAGGCGACACGGCGAAGGAGGGAAGAAAAGAACATGGAGGCAAGAAATAAAGGCCTTTTGTGCCGAAACAGGGACCGTGACGGAAAGAAGAAGGAACCGTGAAAAGAACAAAAAGGAAAGAGCAAAACGTGCTGGCTTTCAATGCAACAGTGGAAGATAGACTACCCGATGGTGCTGCGTGTTATATTGCGCCCCGTTGCTCTCTTTCACGCACACACAGACGAAGACACTTTTTTTTTCTTTTTGACAGGTTTTCTTTTGTTCTTTTTTTTTTTTTTTTACTTTGGTTCCCCGTATTATTGTTATTATTATTGTTATTCATCACCCCGCTGTTCTTCTCATTTCTCTTTATGTTTCTTCATCCCCATGTTCACTTTGCAGCCTGCTTGGCATCACTATATTAAGCTCACGTATGTCCAAAATTTTCAAACTGCATATTTCCCACACAAATACTTGGTGGTGGTCTTAATTATTTTATTGCCGGCTGCTTCTCTGTTTTTTTTTTTTTTTTTTTGTTCCTTTTTCTTTTTTCTTTTGCTTATATTTGTTTTCCTCTTCCTTTCCTTTTTTTTTTCCCCCCTCCGATCTTTATGTGTTTATAGGTTTTCCGCGCCATTAACTTTCCATCCCCTACTCCATCAAAACACGCCAGTTTCATATTGATACGCGTATTATAAATAGCGAGAAGAAGGCAATGGCACGTATATGCACGGGGGCCAATGTTGAGCTTGCTCTCAAGGATATTGTGCGTCATGCGATGGAAAAGGCATTCCCCACCATTAGCACACCGGAGGTTCTCATTTCACTGGGTAAAGTCACAGAGTACCAGTGCAACAATGCGATGGGATTAGCCAAACTTCTCTCCAAGGCAACACCTCCGATGAAGATGAGTCCTATCAATGTTGGTGAGGAGTTAAGAAAGAATCTTGAGGAGAATGATCTCATTGAAAGGTTTGAACCGACACCACAGGGGTTCATTAACATCGCCATCAAACAGGAATGGGCAGCTACCATGGTGTCGCGTTTGCTTAAAATGGGCATTCAGCCTCCCATAATCCCTCCAAAAAAGGTGCTTGTGGACTTTTCTTCACCCAACATTGCGAAGGAGATGCATGTGGGTCATCTCCGCTCCACCATTATTGGCGAAACCATTTGCCGTCTTTTTGAATTCTGTGGCTTTGAGGTGCACCGCATCAATCATGTGGGTGATTGGGGCACGGCGTTTGGTATGCTTATCCTGTACTTGAAACGTCAGCACCCGAACTTTCTTACTGAAATGCCGGACATTACGGATCTTACTAAATTCTACCGTGAGGCCAAAAAATGCTTTGATGAGGACCCCAAGTTTAAGGAGGAGGCAAGACTGCAGGTGGTTAAGCTCCAGGCATTGGAAAATGAATCTATTCAAGCGTGGAAAATTATTTGTGACATTTCCCGGAAAGAATTTAGTCTCATTTATGATCGTCTGGGCACTCGCATCGAGGAGCGTGGAGAGAGTTTCTACAATCCTATCATTCCAAGGGTGTTGAGTCTGCTTCAGGAAGCTGGAAAGCTAGAGGAAAGCAGCGGCGCGAAGCTTGTCATTAGCAAGGAGAAGAAGTTGATCAGTTCACTGAATGCGAAAGATATGGCCAAACTTATTGTGCCACATCTTATTCAAATTTGGCGTGATAACACGGTAGAGTTCCACGTGAATATGATCACGGTACTGAGGGAGGTGGGTATCTTGACGGGTGAGGAAGGCAACGAAACAATAATGCTTTCAAAGAAGGAGACCAAACCGCTATCAAAGTTTGATGCACGCACAGACATTGACAAGATTGTACCCAAACTTGAACCTTATTATAAGAATCAGTTGTCGCCACTTTTTCGTGAAGTTTTTGAGGCGGCAGGTATAACTGATGGGGATACAATTGCCGTCCCGCGGTTCAATTTTCCACTCATTCTTCAGAAGAGTGACGGCGGGTTCACATATGATACCACCGATGTTACGTCAATGTATCACCGATTTGTCATGGAGAAAATGGATCGTGTTGTTTACTGTACAGATGTGGGACAATACGAGCACTTCCGTATGTGCGCTCAGCTGGCGAAAGACATGGGATGGATGGGGGATGCGACGTGGGATCATGCCGGTTTTGGTCTTGTCACGGGCGCGGATGGCAAAAAGATTAAGACCCGCAGTGGCGAGACGGCAAAACTAAAGGATTTACTTGACGAGGCGGTGGAGCGTTCCATAGCCATTTTAGAGGAACGTGAAGGTGGTGAACGTAGTCAGGGGCATACAAAAGAAGAAATGGAAACCCTGTCTAAAATTATTGGTATCGGTGCCATCAAATATTTTGATTTGAAGCAGAGTCGTGTTAATGATTACGCTTTCAGTTACGACAAGATGCTTGATATGTCAGGTAACACCGCCGTGTTTCTCTTGTATCAGTACGCCCGTTTATGTTCCATCAAACGCAAGGCAAATGTGAGTGAAGATGAATTCATGAAGGCGGAAGTAGTCATCAACACTCCGCAGGAAAAGCGGCTGGCGCTTTGTGCCTTCCGCATGGAATCTGTTCTGTTGAAGACTGTGGAGGACCTCTTTCCTCACCATCTCACGGATTTTGCGTATGAGTTAGTGTCATGCTTCTCTGACTTCTTTCAGAACTGCAAGGTTGTTGGGGATCCCATGCAAAACAGCCGTCTCTGTCTTGTGGAGCTCACACGCATCACATTGAAAAAGGTTTTTGATATCCTTAACATTGAGGCGACAGAACGGATTTGATGGCACTCGCACGGATGAGAAAAGGACTGGTACTGGAAAGAACTGCAGCGGTGGGATGAAAAAGAGGGGGGAGTGAGAGAGAAAAGGGTTCCATTGCAACTGAACGCCGGGTGTCTGGCCATTCTTTTTTTTTTATGGTTGACTTTGTTGTCAGATTGTTAACCGAGCGTTTGCGAGAAGGTTGGCCACCCAATTTAATACGTATATATACCCTGATAAGAAGAAGGTATATTCCTGCACGATTCTTTTCCCTCATTTATGGTTCCTTTGGAAGAACGCGATGGAAGGAGTCAATGAACCGATAACGGTAGGAAAAATCACTTTTTTTTATTTTGGTTGTTTTGCCGTCCTATCCACGCGCTCTTTTCTGATTTTCTCCTCGCGGCGGTGTCTTGTGGGCTGGAGGTTCTTAATTGCTGCCACGTCGTAAGTAATTTTAAACGTCTCCAATCCGAACAGAGTACAAAATGCCACGATAGCGGGGTTAACCATATATTTGTATGTATGTATATACTTGGTGGAAACAGCGAGGATGTGGTGCACCCACCGTCTCTCACCATTGCGCCTTCTTTCCTGTTCTATTTTTATTCATAAGACTTAGGATAAGGCCAGCAACCCAGGCGGATATTCTGCGTTTTTTGAGCGAAAACAGCGGCAACAACCCCTGAAAAATAGGAAAAACTTGGGAGACGCAAAATAATAATAATAATAATAAAATAATAATAAATAAAACAGAAAAACAACTTATAAAAACTTAAAAAAAAACTTTCGGGGTGCTGTAGACAAGAACAGAACTTGACACGAAACGGTACCGGCCTTCTCATCATTATTCGCACCCCGCGTCCTCCTCCTTCTTCTTGCTCATGATTATGGGGACTGCTTTCTGCAAGTCTGTGGTTTGGCGGAACTCCTTTGGGTTTTATTTATTTTTCCCCTTTTGTTCTTATCGTTTCTTTTTTTTTTTTTTTTGTGTGTGTGTAGCGTTTCATTGAGTGATTGTGCAAGTAGAGTCGATGACGCAGAGCTGGTTTAGACCGCATCCACTTGGCATTTATCCAAGAGGAAATGCGAGGAAGGCGGAGTTACTGTCCGCGCCAAGGTTTGGCACCCTTTCTGTTCTTCAGTTTGCTGCCAAGGGCTGGATGAGGAAATCTGCAATTGTAAAAGAATCCACTGAAGAGGCATTTGTGGAGCTACTTCTCCACCTGTTGTCCTTTTTTTCAGTAGATGACCTTTGCCGTTTGTCGGCTACTTGCACGGGTTGGTACTGCTTTATTCATGCCTCTGAATCTTTTAGGCAGAATTGCAGTCTTGTCTCATCCAAATGCCTGCGTTTTCGCGGGAGCTGGAAGGAGACGGCGATTCGAATTTTTCTCCTTGAGGCGACCGATATGGCATCTTTTTCTGTTACGAAGCGTCATCGTACGGAGTGTGACACCTCTGCGGCTGATGGGTTCCAGTTTAAACATCGTCCTGTGGCTGTCAGTCGCGCCTTTTTTAATGATTATTTGTTTCAGGTATGGATGTGCACAATTCTTCCATGTCATTATCATCTTTTGCCAGGTGTGAAGGACGACGCTGGTGCTTCTGCGAATCATGGTGCGGCGTGGACATGTGAAGGGAATTTGCCGCAACAACGGAGTAGTTTTCGTTCCTTGTTGAAGGATGTGCCACGCCGTAGCGGTCTTTCTCCGAGGGAATTTCGAGAGCAGTTTGAAGAGCCGAGCCTGCCGGTGATTCTAACGGATGTGGCCACGGATTGGCCATTCTTTAAAATCCTGCAAGGTAGGTTTGAGAATTTGGCGGAAAAGAAGGAAGAATTGTTTCGTCCTGGTGTTTCTCCCGATGTTTCTATGCGCTGCGAGCATACAACGATGACTGTCTCGGATTACGTGCGTTACGCAAAGGAACAGACAGACGAACGTCCCATTTATATGTTTGACGCGGAGTTTGGAAATTCTATGGCTATTGAGTCGCTTTACTCCGTACCTGAACATTTTGTCTGCGATGATTTCTTCAAGGTGCTGGGTGACGCGCGTCCGAAGCACCGCTGGATCATCGCAGGCCCACGTCGTAGTGGCAGTAACTTTCATGTTGATCCAAACTACACGAATGCGTGGAACGCCAACCTTGCTGGGCGAAAGCGATGGATTTTATTTCCACCCGGCTGCACACCGGCAGGTGTCTTCCCTGCGGAGGACATGTCTGAAGTTACAACCCCTGTTTCACTTTCAGAGTGGTTGCTAAACTACTATGATGCATCCGTAGAGCGATGGCGAGGTGTTGGGTATGAGTGCATATGCGAACCCGGTGATATCATGTTCATTCCTTGTGGTTGGTGGCACTTTGTTATCAATTTGGAGGACTCCGTTGCAATCACGCAGAACTATGTCTCGGAAAGTAACCTCTTGCGTGTCATGAAATTTCTCTTTGCCATGAAATCGTCAATAAGTGGCATTGATGAGGATGCAGAAGATGTCACGAGTGAAATGTTGGAGGATCGACGTGCTCACTTTGCACAAGAGTTTGCCACCGCGATGCGTGCATCATTCCCCGACTTGATGCAGCGAGTAGAGGTCGAAATTAAAAAGGAGACGGAACAGCGTCGGCAAAAGAAGCAGGAGTGTGTCGCATTGCCGCTTCTGGACGCCGGAAGTGAGGGATTTGCCTTTAATTTTTAAATACATGCATACGTACGTATAAATGTATAAAAAGAGACGTTTATTTTGTTGTTTTTGTTTGTTTGTCTTTAGAGGAGGAAATGCAAACCTTTTGGCGGATTTGGTGCCGCTTGCTTCCCAAATTGTCATCTTTTATATGTATTATTATCATTATTATTATTATTATTTTCTTGTCTCTCACTCTCTCTATTTTTTTTTTTTTTTTTGTGTGTGTGTGTCTGTGTTTCTGCTCTTACCGGCACGGGACCCTATGGCGAGTGCACAGTATTTGTGTGTGGAAAAGCACTCTTGCTCATGGGGTTCCTCACGGACTACTACGATAAGCTGGCGAAAGAAGGCCGTCTTGATGCACTTCTTATATTTGGCATGTACGATGAGCGCGTTTATGAAGTCGTAGATCGTCATCACTTGGCGAATGAGATTTTGAATATGCTGCCGTCACCACGAGCAGCCGTGTTTCTCTCACGGGGTATGGTTTACAACTGTATTAGCGAGGTTGTTATTCGAGACTTTATTAAGATTTGTATGATGCTGTCTCGTTACAAGTCTGTTGAAGAGGGGGCAAGTCTTGCAGAACTTATTGGGAGCTGCGGGATTCCAGAGCAGTACCGAATGAATATGTTTAACTTCAGTGAGACGTATCGTCATATGATCTTGTCGAGGTCATACTTTCCTCAGCGATCGGTATTGAGACTGTTGTCCTACATTTTTTGCGATGATGTTCTCTCGGATGCGGTGGCTCAGTTACAGTACAAGTCGGATATCTTAAATCACGTGAACAAGGTATATGTGGATACGCCAGACTTTGTCTCATGGCGCTTTTCTGTACGTGTCATGTCACTCGCAGGAGGGTACAACGAAGACCGCAGTGACGTCGAGTATACAGAAGCACTGACACGGGTGGTCACACGCACAATTCCAGAGTTTTTCATTTATTTTACGGTGACATTTTTTTACGCTATGTTTCGTCATTATCCGAGACGTGTGCGTGGTATTACCCCACGCTGGCTCGCTCGACATCGTGCCCTTTTTTCTGCCATTTACGGTGCTGTTTTGGGTGTTTATGTCAATTCGTTTCTTGAGTATCGTATTTACAAACATCGGGTATTGTACGAATTACGCAAAAGTCAAGAGTATCGTCGTCGTCGCGGTGCAGCAAGACGCGGCATTGAATACCCTGAAAACAAGTATTTTAATAACCTTGAGGGTGTTACGCGTCGTATATACTCCATGCAGTGCACGGCGTACAGTGTCACCGTAGGAGCGCTGCTGCTTTCCATGCTGCCTCTCACTCCAGTAAAGTTTCCCAAGTGGATGGGGGATGTGGCGTGGCGTCATCCATTTGTTCCGCGTCTTTTCCCAACTCTTTTGGGAATGCATACGGCGTCGCGATGTATGGTGCCCTTTGTCTTTGCCCCCTTTGTGACACTGACAATTGCGCGGTTTAACGGATGGGGAGCGACCCTGTATGATCGTTACGTGGAGTGCCGCATGCGGATGTGGTACCGCAAGGTGGAGGTGGCTTTTGATACATCAACGGATGTGGCGGATGTCGACATCACAAGAGATTCACATCAGAAAACAATTTAGTCAACTTTTGGTGGGTGCGGCGTTGAGGGACCACAAGGGAGGAGTTATGACGCATCAACGGAATTTTTCCTTTTGGTGTTGGTGGTGTTGTTGATAGTTTGATGAGAAACGCTTCTTCTTCGTGGTGTGGCGGTTATTTCTTTGATGCAAACCAACGAGGGTGAGAGAAGGGAGTTTCCGCCAATTGTGTGATTTGTGTTGTCAATAAATGCGCGCAGCAAAAACATTTTTTCTTTTTTTTTTTCTTTTACATCTTTTTGTCTTTTTCGCGTTCTTTTTTCTCGTTCTTCTTGTTTTTTGTCTCTGGTGCGATTCAAGGAGAAAGCGATGTTGGTTGAAGGCGTTCTTTTGAGAGTGAAACTGGGCAAACCCGCGCGGGACGCGGTGGACTTGTTGCAAATATCGAGGGAGATAAAGAACGCCGAGGCCGTCCTTAAGAGCACCAGGAATGTTCTGGACAAGACACGGAGGACCGCATCGACAGAGGGAACGACAGAAAATCACGAGTGTGAGCAGGCGGCCCTTTGTTACGCTGCCAAAAAACGTGCTGGTATGGAGGCTTTTTTTATTAGCGAGGATGTGTTTCATGCATTTCAAAGAGTTTTTCTGGATCTCGTGGAGGAGGAGCGCGTCGCACGCTGTCGACTTGACGACCTTCACGCGGACACCAAGGAGCGCGCCGCTAAGGCTCGTAGTGCGGAGTATTTCATGGACACCAAGTGCGTTTTTGAGCGCTTTGCTGTAGAGGAAGAGGCGCGTGAGAAGAAGGTAAAGCTGTTCCAAGAATACAGTGGCTTTTTGAGTGCTCTGAGGTTTGCAGAGGAGGAGGAGCGTCAGGAGGCCATAAGTCGCGCGAGGGCAAGGCGACGGGTCTCGCTACAGCAACCTGTTGCTCAGCCAATGCCGCTGAGCTCCTTCGGGCAGCCTGGTGTGATGTCACCGCCCGTTGGCTTGCAGCAGACGGCACGGCCGCAAGGACCGCCGCAGTTTGCGCATCAACAGCCTCCATATACCGCACAAACTCAACCTTACGGCTTACCACATAATTTTTTTGGGCGAGGACAACAGATGTATCAGCCGCAACCACAACAAATGCAGGCGAGTGGATATTATGCTGCCGCACCAGTCGGAAGAGGAGGCTATCATTACGGTGCCCCATCGGCCCCTCCCTTTCAGGCCCCGGCGCAAAACATCTTTCCAGCGCAGTACCAGGCTTTTCAGCAGCAACACCCGCCGAACTCCGGCTGGCCGGGGCATTCACAGGCTGCACGAGGCCGAACGCATTATTACGGGCTTTAGGAGAAAGATGCAATAAGTACCTTTTTTTTCATTTACACAATTAGCGACGTTTTTATCGGTTCAGAGAATACTTTGTAAGACCCAATAGAAAAATTATAGGGCATCTCTTGAGTTTTTTTGTTTTTATATATTTATATAATTTACTTTTTTTTTTCCTTTTGTGTGCCAGTTGTTGTTTTTAAGGAATGCTAATTTTTCATTTGAGTAGAGGTATTTACTGATGCAGTGTGAAAGCGATTGCCTAATGATTCTGCACCCGTGTTTGGATGCCTTCGGTTTGCCTCGTATTGCTATTGTGCATGCATGAAATTTATACACAAGTTGCCAAAGAACAGCCTTTTTTTTTTTCTGCTTTTTTTTTTAGCTTTCATTATTCCAGGGCCAATTGCCGTTCCTCCGTTTGCCAGGCGAGGGAACAGGGAAAAAGGGAGAAAAGGATTTGGACCTTTCTCTCCCGTCCTAATAAAGAGCCCATACGGAATCCACACATATATTTTTTATATTACTTGCCAACGGTTCCTAACAACGGCGGAGACAAATTTTTTTTTTTTTTTTTTTAATGGCATCGTCTTTTTTGGTTCCCTTCACGCTGCATGTGAAACGATCAGAGACATGCGAATCGTTGCATGAAGATCTTGGGCCCCTGCTATCATTGTTGCGCGAGGAGGGGAATTGCTCACCCAGAACAACCCCGGCCTCAACGCGACCCGCGACGAGTTCGAATACGCTGCACCATTTGTTAGAGAATGCCACCGTGTTGCTTCCTGACTTTGACGCACAACTCGTCCACGATGAAGCTGTTGATTTTACTACCGGCGTTCGGCTTTTGGCGCGATTTGAACAGAGTTATGTGTCTCTTATTTTTAAAGAGTACTGCAAGCGCAAAAGCATTGAGAAGGAGCGGGAAGAGGCGTTGGACGAATTTAGGAAGTCGCGACAGGAACTGATGGATGCGGAACTGCCACTGGACGTCCGCGAGTCTCTGGCTGCTTTGGAAATGAGGGAATCCAACGAACGGGAGGCGCTGGCGATGGCGTACAAAAGTTTTGTGGACTGGGTAGATGCGACCACTCCGCAGTGGCTGGAGGCGGTTGCTCGGTTGGAAAAGGGGAGGGAAGCTAAGGCTGCCGCCGTCGACGCGGCAAAACGTGCATTGGAGGATGAGCTTGCGCAGCGTCATGCCGTTGCGACAACGGGCCAAGTGGCTGCCGTAACGGATGAATCCCTGCGGCGCCAAGCAATTGCCATGGTAGAACAGGAACAAGAGCGTCGCCTACAGGCACAAGAGGACCAGGTCAAAATGCTACGCCTTCAAGAGGAACAGTTGCGACGTCAAATTGAGGAGAACAGAAGACGGAGCGAGCTGGAGAGGGAAAAGCAACACGAGGCCGAGATTGAATGCAGGCACAAGGGCCTATTGGAGCAGGAGGGCACATTGCAGCAACGCCTGTCCCAATATGAAAAGGCGCGAATGCAGCGCGAGGAAGAACGTCGCATGATGCTGGAGCACATTGCGGCGGAGGAAGAATTGCTCCGCCATCGCCTGGAAGAGCGGGAGATGCAACGAAAAAAGGCGGAGGAGGAAAAGGAAAGAATGGAACGCGAAAGCCGTGAGGAGCTTTACGAACATGTGGAGGCAGAAGAAGAGTTGTTGCGACAACGCCTTCTGCGCTATGAGGAGGCACGAGAGGTGGAGGCTGAAATGTTAAGGCGGAGGGCAGAAAAGGGGCGGGAAGAGTTGTACGAACATGTACGCGCAGAGGAGGAAATCCTGCGACGGCGACTTGAACAGCGACGGAGGGAAGAGGAGGAGGAGGAACTTCAAAAAGAAATGATACTCAAAGCAATGGCTTTGGAGAAATCTGCGTTGGAGGAACGCGAGCGTCACCGTGTGGAAGGGGATCACCAGTTAAAAGGACTGGAAGATGCAAATACAGAAGATGAGCTACGCCTACTGCTTGAAATGGAAGCTAGGCAGAAACGCCGTATTGAAGAACATAGGCAGCATTCTCAGGCACAAAATCAACTGCATCCTCCTCCTCATAATCATTATTATTATTATTGCCATCAGCACTATCAACATCATCAGTTACAGCTGCCGGATCAGCCCCCTTCATCAACTATTCACAACTACCATGATCCAATGTCTTTGAATCCACCACCACCAGCTCCTACTCTTCCTAGTGCTGCAGCCGTCGTAAGTTCTCCGGATGCATACCCGTGGGGAAACAACGCGGTTTCACCTTCTAGTTGGCATCACCCGTATTCGTATCCACACCTGCAGCAGCCAGCACCACCAGGTTATCCGCCTTTTTCAGTTCAGCGTTGAGTTGCTTTGAAATATTATATATAAGACGAGTGAGAATCAAAACCACAACCCCCCACCAAAACAACAAAAACTACTACTGCTACGAGAGTGTGAAAAGAGAAGAGGTTCTCTCCAAGATGTCTTTATTGAATTATGTGAATTTCTCAATCGGTAATCTTTCTTTTCTTGGCCTCGCACCTTATTATCTTTTGAGAAAGAAGAAAGTGGAGGCGGGAAATTGGATGAGTGGAGGAGAGCGAAAATAAAATAAAATGCATCACTCCCCTTGGCTTTTGCAAGGGCTATTTCTTTAATTCTTTTCCTCTAAACACGAAGAGAGCAACAAACCAGCGAAACATCATCAACAGCTAATTATCATAGTGAGTGACTTTGATGCGACGGCCACGACGATGGAGGTTGTATCCTGTACGGAGCGCTGTTGCGTTTATTATTTGCCTTTGTTTTATTTACCTGTTCGTGAGTATTGAAAGTATCGGAGCCCTTCAAGGACAGGCATCTTTCTTGAAAGTAGTGGTGCGTAGCAGTGCCATTTCGGGAGCGAACCTTTCACTGAGAGTGACGAATGAAACATCTGCTTTGGCTTCCTCCGGTATTTTCTCTGCGGTTGGTAGTTCTCGTCTTTCTCTTCTATATAACGCAGATGCCATGATTGATCTTGCTGCACAGCGAGAGTTTAATCAAACACTATGTCCGACAGAGCCGAGGGAGAAGGAGCATCCCAAATTTGTGGAGTTTCTTGAGTTCTTTACCAGAGTCTTTAAGGAGAAGTACAACAATATACCATGGTGGCTAGATGAAGGCAGTCTTATTGGTGTAGGACGAGCCGGCGCCATTGTGAACGCAGACGATGACTTTGATTTTTTTGTTCTTTTACCAAACGCCACATCACCCTGTAGGCCGGGATCATTGGAATGCACACGGGAAGAATTCAATTTGCTTATACACCAATTTCTTTTGCCTCTCTGGGAGGCAGGGGCCTGCATTCGCCGGTTTAATCCTGATATTAGTAAGTTTGACTCTGAGCGTCGTTTAATGTACTCGTTTCAGATTCGCAAGCCAAATGAATTGCGGGACCCAATGCATTGTTTTAATCCCAGAGCACCTTTTGCACACATGCACTTTGGAATGCTGAATGCGGATGGGGAACTTGAAACGAATAAGTGGGTGGGCCCTAATTCCCACCCGAAGGATAAATTGCCGTTGGACCTGATGCTACCTGTGCGTCGCTGTCGTCTGGGCCCAAGTGACGCCCCATGTCCGTTTGACATTGTGGGCTACCTGACGTTGCGTAATAGAGGTGAGTACGTGCGTCGCTCCAGGGAGGGTAGTTGTCTACTGGTGAAGAAGAAGTGGAGCAAGGCTCGGAGAGTTAATCAGGTCAAAAAGGTTCAACTTCTTCATGACTGCGGGTATAATAGCATGATTCGTTTGGTGAAGCGATTCGTCGATTCGGATTATGATACATGTTGATGTTCAATCCCATTAATTCCCACCTCTGTGTCTGTGTGTGTGTGTGTCTGTAATTTTCTTTTATCGTTAATATATTATATATATACATATATATATTTACATATCCTTTTTTGTCTACGGTCATCTTTTTTTTTTTTTTTTTTTGGCTTACCTTTGAATCTGTGTGATCCCATGTTTTGTTATTTTTCTTTATGATCACCACCACAAACATTTTAAAAAGCGGTGGGCTTCATTGTGAAAAACAGCTATGCCGTCTGTCTCCAAGGCCAAGCGGGAGTACGAGGAGCGTTTCAATGGCTGCCTCACCAAGTACGGCCGCGTGCTTTTCTGCCTGATGGATAACGTCCGCTCGCAGCAGGTGCATGACGTTCGTCGCGACCTCCGTGGTTTGGGTGAACTTGTGATGGGCAAGAAGACGCTCCAGAAGAAGATTGTGGAGAGGCGCGCGGAGGACAAGAAGGCCAGCGCGTACGACAAGTTGCTTTACAACACGTGCATCGAAAAGAAGCTGTTGTGCGGCAACACCGCCCTCATCTTTACGAACGAGGAGATCCCAGTCATCACGGCCGTGCTGGACAAGCACCGCGTACAGGCCCCCGCCCGTGTGGGCGCCATCGCCCCATGCGACGTCATTGTCCCCGCTGGTAACACCGGCATGGAGCCCAAGGCGACATCCTTCTTCCAGGCACTGAACATTGCGACGAAGATTGCAAAGGGTACAGTCGAAATTGTGAGTGACAAGAAGGTACTGAGCGCTGGTGATCGTGTGGACAACTCGACGGCCACGCTGCTGCAGAAGCTGGATATCTCCCCGTTCTACTACCAGGTGGAGGTGCAGTCCGTGTGGGACCGTGGTATGCTGTTTCTTCGCGAGGACCTTTCCATCACCGACGACGTTGTGGAGAAATACCTTCTGGAAGGTATCAGCAACGTTGCTGCGCTTTCGCTGGGTGCTGGCATCCCGACGGCAGCGACCTTGCCACATATGATCATGGACGCGTTCAAGACCCTTCTTGGCGCCTCCGTTGCCACCGAATACGAGTTCGATGAGTTTGATGGCAAGAACCTGCGCAAGGCCGCTCTGGAGGGCAACCTTGGTGGAGGTGCGGCTGACGCTGCTGCCGCTACCGACACCGGCGCTGCTGCCGCTCCTGCCGCTGCCGCTGAGCCCGAAGAGGAGGATGATGACGACGACTTTGGCATGGGAGCGCTGTTCTAAGCTATGCAATGGAGAACTGCAGTTTTATTTTGATTTTTTTCTTTTGTGTGTGTGTTTTGTTTTTATTTGAGCCTGCGAATTTTTCTTCATTTTTTGTAACAAGGCGCCGTTTTTTTTTTTTTTCTTCTTTATTTGTATGTGTTTTTATTGTGCGTGTCAATACTTTTAGCGGCGCACCATCTCTCTTTTCTTTCTATTTTTGTTGTTGTTCCTGGTTACGCACACACATACTCATACGTACCGTTAGAATCCGGGACTCAAGTATCTTTTATTATGCCGTCTGTCTCCGAGGCCAAGCGGGAGTACGAGGAGCGTTTCAATGGCTGCCTCACCAAGTACGGCCGCGTGCTTTTCTGCCTGATGGATAACGTCCGCTCGCAGCAGGTGCATGACGTTCGTCGCGACCTCCGTGGTTTGGGTGAACTTGTGATGGGCAAGAAGACGCTCCAGAAGAAGATTGTGGAGAGGCGCGCGGAGGACAAGAAGGCCAGCGCGTACGACAAGTTGCTTTACAACACGTGCATCGAAAAGAAGCTGTTGTGCGGCAACACCGCCCTCATCTTTACGAATGAGGAGATCCCAGTCATCACGGCCGTGCTGGACAAGCACCGCGTACAGGCCCCCGCCCGTGTGGGCGCCATCGCCCCATGCGACGTCATTGTCCCCGCTGGTAACACCGGCATGGAGCCCAAGGCGACATCCTTCTTCCAGGCACTGAACATTGCGACGAAGATTGCAAAGGGCACAGTCGAAATTGTGAGTGACAAGAAGGTGCTGAGCGTTGGTGATCGTGTGGACAACTCGACGGCCACGCTGCTGCAGAAGCTGGATATCTCCCCGTTCTACTACCAGGTGGAGGTGCAGTCCGTGTGGGACCGTGGTATGCTGTTTCTTCGCGAGGACCTTTCCATCACCGACGACGTTGTGGAGAAATACCTTCTGGAAGGTATCAGCAACGTTGCTGCGCTTTCGCTGGGTGCTGGCATCCCGACGGCGGCGACCTTGCCACATATGATCATGGACGCGTTCAAGACCCTTCTTGGCGCCTCCGTTGCCACCGAATACGAGTTCGATGAGTTTGATGGCAAGAACCTGCGCAAGGCCGCTCTGGAGGGCAACCTCGGTGGAGGTGTGGCTGACGCTGCTGCCGCTGCCGACACCGGCGCTGCTGCCGCTCCTGCCGCTGCCGCTGAACCCGAAGAGGAGGATGATGATGACGACTTTGGCATGGGGGCGCTGTTCTAAGCTACAAGGTAGAGAAGAAATTTTCCGGAAATGATTTTATTTTTGTTTTTGTTTTTTATTTCTCATACTTAATGGTGACCTTTTTTGGTAGATCGAGGGAAATGGGATGGCTGTTACATGTTCCAAGGGTGCGGTCGTCTTCTATGATGATGTTCTTTATCTTTTTTTGGGGGGCTTTTTTCTTCTTGGCTTTGTTTGGATTTTTTTTTTTTTTTTTTTTAGGCAAAGGGGGCCGTGGACCGACGATCACTGCGCTCCGACCCCAAAAAAAGAAAAACGGAAGATAGGGGAGAAATTGGCTTCTTTTTTGTGTTGTTTTGTGTGTGTGTCACAGTTGAATTGACGCGAGGATGCCGCGTGTTCTCATTGTGCTTCTTACGTACGATGACCCCGAATGTGGCGGTGCCGCGGATGCCCTTGCGGAGCATCTGCAGCGGGACTGCGCCGTGATGATGGACCGATGTCAACTGACGGTGAAGCCGATTGCCATTTTGCATAACGCGTCACACCGGGACGCCCTTTACCGAACTCTGCAGGATCTCTTCCAGGTGAAGCCGCAGGACATTTATGTCATTACCTTTTTAAAGGAAAACAATTTTGAGGAGTACCGCAAGGTCCGAGAGTTGTGTAATGGCGTGAAGCCCTGCTGCATCAAACACCAGTTGTTGACGCATGTGGCGAATTATAGTGATGTTGGACTCATCATACGGAATCTGGTGCGGTTGGTGCTAGAAGAAATGAGGAGGGAGGTGTGAGAGGTGCCACGGGATTCAACGGAAGAAGACGTGGGAGGGCCTTACAGGTGCTGACCTTAATGTGCCCGGTGAAGAGGGAGAGAGAGAGTATGTGTGTGTGTGTGTGCGTGAAGGAAAAGGAGAATAGGCGGGGCGGGGTGGAGTTCATCATCGCACTTATGGCCTGCGCGTTAGCACAGCTTGGGAAAGAGCCATCATCGATGCCCAAACACACGATAAAAAGAACGCGAAAACTCAACGAAGGGCCCTACCCTGCAGTCTCACGGTGCGTCAACATATGCATACATATATATATATATTATGATCTTTTTTTTTTTCTTTTCTTTTTTCTTGCTTGTTTACTCCTCAAAATTGATAGCGACAACTGTTTGGTATAGAAAGGCAAATGAGTGATCATCACGAAAATGCGTCGGAGGCGAACAGCCTTTCTCCCTTGCTCCAGACACCATTATTGTCAACGAGACAGTATTTTGTTTCCCCTCGGCGCCAAAATCAACAGCAAGTTCCAACGGATGGTATTTGGAGCCTTTGCCCCTGGTTTTTGGGACCACGTGGTGACAGCAATGTCTCCGCCAGGGCCCTGCGTAATAGATCCCTTCCTGCATCCGACGGTGGCGAGAGCTCACATCGTGTGCTTCCCTCTTTGGAGTTGGCGAACGGAACGGACAATGGAAATAAGGTAAAACACAGGCAGCAGCAAATTCATCTTTCCTCGTTATCGTTTTCACTGGCAAGATTTGGATCTCAATTTGATGACATGCAGCCGTTGGTGACGCTGCTTCGTTCTTCAACCACATCGACGCTGGGGAACTCAGAAGAGTACCGTTCAACTCCAATTAGGAGGTTACGACGGTGCGTCTCACCGGTACATTTTTTTTACTTTCCCACGAAGAATTTTCTTCCGCAAACCCGACGACAAGCCGCCATAAAGATTGTCCGGTGGTGGCGCTCACGGGAAGCCCTTTCAGAGAAACGTCGTATTCATGCGTTGAAGCTTATTCAGAGAGTTGGACGCGGCTATTTGTGTTTGAAACAAATCTCTCGCCGGGTTGAAGTAACGAGGGATTCGTCATCTTTTGCTCGAAGTATACGCCTGTGTTCCAGCATCTCAATGTGGCTGAACAAGTTGGGAGAAAAAAGTAACACTCGATTTCCTGCGGATAAACTTGGGGTTGTGTTATGTGAGAGTCGCGGCCAGTTCAACCCCGGCCAAAGCTACTGCAGCAGGTGCTGCAGGAATACCTCGGGGTCCATGTCGAGGAATTATGTCTCTTTTCGTGGGTTGGGAAAGGGCGTTCGTGGGGCGCGTTTGGTGAATTTTGACCCTGAGAACAACACTGCATCTGCTCAGGCTGAAGAGTCAAAGAATGCCGTTTCCTCTGACGCGAACAATTTGTCAGGGTCTTTTATTAATGAAAACGCCGATTTTATTTATTCTCCAGCCTCGTCCCACAACGAGGGGGCGGATATGTTTTATTTGCCCCGTATTTCGCAGCGCACCCATGCAACGAAGGAGGACGAAGAAACAGAGCCACAAAACGAGGCGTTCTTTTGTATGTTCAATAGCCGTGTTTCATTGGAACCCTTCTCCGTGAAGGTGGCACGCTCATTGCGGTCTAGGGATTATAATGAGTTGGGGCCGTGGAGTTTGCAATCCGCAAGACGAAGTACAGTTGAGCGTGTTTGCCCAAATGCATCTATGTTGTAATCTTTGCTGAATTTGAATCGGGTCTCTTAAGACCGTTGAGGATTTTATTATGTTTTTTGTCTTTCTTTTTTTTTTTTTTTTTGGGGGGGTTGGGGGGGAGAAAAGTTCATCTCCTTTCGCTTGACTTTACCATGCTGCCTCCTTGCCTGGTATAAAGGCGAGATGCTGTTTCTTTACCATAATGATGAGAGGTTGAGAGGGGGTGGGCAAGAAAGTCTGTAGTAAATATATGCTTATATATATATATGCCCTTTTTTTTTTTGTCTTTGTTTTTGCGTTTTTGAGCTGTTTGAATATTTTACCCTAGCCCTAACACTTTTGGTATATTTTTTTAATCTAATTTCTGTTTCTCCCTGTCGGCAGCCACCGTTTTTGCCATCATGTGACTGATTTGCACGGGCGGCTTATATATTTTTATTTTTTACGGAGCATTTCTTTTATTTCACACCCTTCCCCACCCCCTTTTTTTTTTTTTTTTTTACTGTCCTGCGTTTATGCAAAACTCTTTATTTTTCAGCGACTCGCGCACGTTGCATGCGTCGGTTTACTCGCACTTCGCAGAAAATGTGATTTGTTTGCGTCCCGCCTCACCCTTTTTTTTTTTTTTGTGTGTGTGTGAGTTTTCAACTCCTGTGAGGGCATGAAATTGACAAGAGGAATAACAAAAAAAAAAAAAAAAGAGAGAGAGAGAGAGTGTGTGTGTGTGTGTGTGTTTGTGGGTAGGCGTTTATTTGTCTGTCGGCGGATGGTGCTTGCAGGCGTGGCACACACACACCAACACATACTCTTTTGGGTCTTTTCTCTGTAAGGATCCACGATTCCCCTGAATACCTTTTTTTCTTTTTTTTCCTTTTTCACTCATGACGGGATGCATCTTGTGACTGTGTGCTTGAGCCCAGCAAAAACAAATTTGATAAAAAATCGAAGGAATTATATAAATGGAAGTTGTGAACTGTATTTTATTCCACCGCGGCCGAGTTAGCATTGGGTAATAAAAAATATTATTTATTTATATTTCTTTTTTTGCGATATTTTACGCAATAAGCGAGCCCTTCTACCCCTTCTCACTGTGTACCCGTAAGTATGCACTCTTCTAAACATAAGTATATATATATATATATATATTTTTTATCCATTTCTTGCTTCCCGCCTTTTCCATGCAGACGATCTTACTCACTTAATTACCTAAGCGACACCACAAGGGAACTGATGAAGCCTGTGCAGCCAGTGCTATTTGGCACGTTGGCACTCACGTCTTGTTCCGCATGTGCATGCGTGAGAGCTTTGAACGCCCGGCAAAAGCGGGCTGTACGTCGGCGAGGAATCATTTTCAGTCAACGTCACCCCCGGCCCACGGTGTGGAGTTTTTGAAATTGGTGACGTGAACGGGCAGGCACCGTTTTTTTGAGGGCGAGGAAATTGTCAAAATTACTATTGCCGTTGTTGCTTTAGATGCAGCTTGTCGAATCAAGGGAAAAGAAGTGGGAAATGGTGACACCTTGCCTTGCGCATCAGACGGCGGTGAGCTCTCTTGGTGAGTGCGTGCGCCGCAGTTACTACTGCTACCGCTTGTACTGCTGGTTATGGTGTCTGTTGCTGCAGTTTGAATTGGGTGGTACGGATGGGGACAACGGTCATAAATTGCATTTGGACTAAAATGAAGCAAAGAACATTAATAATAACGTTTTGCTACTCTTTGCTATCCAGAAACATAATCTTTTTTTGTTTCTGTGTGTGCTATTTGTTTTCTTGCATTGCTTTGAGTTATCAATGATCCCCGTATAAGAAATGGGACATCAGTTGGGCTATGATGTTGACATGTGTACAATTGGGGTGCGGTTTTCTTTCTCTTTCCTCCCTTTTTTTCTCTACTTTCCCTTTTTGTTTGCTCGCGGGCAATGCGTGCATTCCATTTATTTTGTTTTACTGTTTCTTCCGTGTGTGTATGTACCTGTGCTTGTGCGCCTCCTGAGGAAACAACTTCTTGCGCCTGTGACTTCTCTTTTTGTTGTGTTGTTTGTTTACTTGGCGTTCTTTTTATGTGTGGGTAGATGGTTGTAGGATGGCTGCTGCTGTTGCGTGAGGCATAATTCTCTTAATTAACGTTTGTTCTTGTGTTTTTGTCTTTTTTTGGTTAGCCATCGTTGCATCTTACGGGTGTTTCCGAAGGGAAGTCATGCACAGTTGGGTTACGCATGCATTGGAGGAAAGGTATATCGAGGCACTGCAAGGGCTTGACGGAACCGAAGGTGTGTACTGTATGGCGTGGGAGCACGAGTGGTATGAGGACGGCATTGTAATGGATTGGTCCGCGCTTCACCGTGGTCTCGTCGCCAGCGTGTGTTTTCCGCCGGTGGCCGCACAAATGGATGATTTGACGCGGTTTGGCTGTTGTGTGAGGGACGACACCCTTCTTGTCACATCCATTGATATCCGTGCTCCGTGGCGCATGATTCCGCTCTCCGACCAGGCGCAGCGGCTCAGCGCTTTTCTGCTCCCACCAGCAGCGAATGCTTGCGGGAACGGAGCGCGAGTTGCCGTGGAGGAGTTGCGTGGTTATCGGTTTGTAAAGGGCCCTCCGGGGCAAAGAAGTGTACGGGACGATGTTTATGCATTACTGCAGACGGTGAACCGTCAGCTGACGAGGGCTGGAGTAAAGACTTATGTTTTCTTTAGCAATGTGATTGTTGCATCAAAAAACTTTGCGCAGTTGATGCACCACACCGCAGCCGTGTTTCGCGCACTCAGGGAGGCTGGATTTGCCATCAACGGGAATGGATCCTCATTTGAACCGCGACGTGTTTTCAAGGTTGTGCCCGGGCGGTATTGGAACACGCTGACTTTAGGCTCGCTTCGGCGTGAGGAGGACATTCTGGGTTTTCTTGTTGATATGTTTTACCGGTGGCTGGAGGATTGTTACGTGTGGTTGTGCGAAACGCCACCACGGTCGTTGCTCCTGTCGGCAGGTGACGACGACAAGAAGCTGCAGTTATTCTCAGACTTCTACACAAGGCTGGTGTACCCACGCCATGATTATATTCATTTCTTGGCTGTAAAGGGCATGACGCTGGCGGATGTTTTGCGGCTTGCCGGGCCCCGGCTGGCAAAGAAGATGCCATGCGTGGGTCCGCAGAAGTGGAGTACACTGGAGCTGCGGTTGTGTTTATCTGCCTTGGACGCGTATAATAATTTCCCATGCAAATAGTTTGGGGTGCTGTGACGGCTTTTTCACTCCTTTTTTAAAAGATTGGAGCCTCAAAGTGTGCGCATATCTTCTAAATGCAAGCTTTTTTTTTTTTTTTTTTTTGTAAGGAACGTTGTTATTTGATCTGTTCGCCGTAAATCCTGTTTCTGCTGTGCATTTGCGTACCATATTTTTTGAACATTCACGGATATTTTTTTTTTTGTGTGAAAGGATAGAAAAGGGTGCCTCTCCTCCAGTGTGTGGGGAGGCGCAATGTGATGGTGAAACGACTGGGCGAATGGTTCCCTTTTTCTTCTGAGTTGTACTGCAGAAAACTAATACTGTATGATCGCATGTTCTGGGATGCGCATGAGGAGCCACTTGTGGAGAAAATGTCACCCTTTTCCCTGGCCACGTGTGCTTTTGTGTGTGCAGCTCCATTTGGGGGATCCGTCGCTGTCATTCATGCCGTACCGCCCCCAACCAACGCTGGTGATAATGAGGGAAAGGTGGCCTGCAGGGTGCATGTGTACACGAGCGCTGGTGAGTTTCAGACGAGTCTGTCTCTTCCGGGGGAAGCGGGTTTACCTATCGACATGGGATGGACGAAGGAGGAGGTTCTTGTCATACTAACGGATCAACAAGCCTGCGTTTTCTTTGGAGCTATTCACTTGGGAAGTTCCTCTTTGAATTCAGACGGCTCTTCATCCTCGTGCATAATCCGGCTGAGAGATCATACTACATCCCCATCTTCTCATCCCGCGGGTAGTTATCTTACTCCAACATTTCTTACATGTATGCATCCCGAGGGATTGTTCTGCATCGATGAAAACAGGTGGATGCGGGGCCTGATGCACGTGGAGCGTCAGGGCCCAAAGGTGCAGGATCCCGTGCAGTTTGAGGCTGGACTCCTCCCCACCACTCTTGACTTTATTCCAGCAGAATGGAATGATGAGGGTGATACAGTGTTTTACCTGACTAGCAGGTCGCGGCTCCAGAAGGGGAATAGCACTTTACATGTCTTTACCTCCAACCATGGCTTGAAGGAAAAGGTGCAGAAGCAAATTCCTGGAAGAGTTTTGGCAATGAAATTAAACCACTCTGGCTTGCAAGTCGCACTATTTACTGACCGAGCGGAATTGCACATATTGTCGAGCAACCTGAAATCTGTGGAATTCTCTATTAAGTTGGGCTCACGTAGTCGAAGGCCGAAAAAAATGGAGTGGTGTGGGTCGTCATTTATCGTTCTCCACTTTAATGATGCTGTCTTTCACGAGTACTACCCATCCCCCACTGTTGCGCCAATGTTCTCTCTTATTATGCCAACCCTACCGGAGGCATCGGTCAAGTACGAAAGGTTTGATTGGGAACGCGAAGGCAGTGGCCATGTCGTCACCGTATCGGAAATTGATGGTATTCGAGTCATCACCGAGAAATCCTGTTACTTTCTCGAACAGGTACCGAAGAGCCTTGTTAGTTTGTGCCGAATCAAACCATTATCTCTCTCTGCCCAACTGGTCGCTGCTTACGCTGACGGAAAGAATTGCCTGCCCACAGTGTGTCGATTGCTGTCAACGTGGGGCGGTGGGGGCTTCGCTGGGAGTATTGACGAGATTATAGATGCCGCAGAGCATGAGTTTTCCCCGGATCAGCAGCATCTACTGTTGGCCGCAGCTTCCTTCTCGAATGAGGTGCATCGGCTGTATGACTCGGACACCTTTGTAGACATTGTGCGGCGTCTTCGTGTGCTCCACACTGTGCGAAACTATCCTGGCTGCCGAATACCGCTCTCATTTCGTCAATACTGCATGCTCTCTGGGCTGGAGCAGATGCGCTCACTTGCTCCCTCTGAGGCTCAGGTGCTGGTAGATCGTCTGGCTAATCGATGTTGCTTCCAATTGGCATTCGATGTTGCAGATGCGCTCAACACGAAGCCATTGCGGTTGCTTTCACAGTGGTCGTGCCATAAAGTACGTGATTCCTCACTGGATGACGACACCGTTTACGCGCACATCCGAGATGTTCTCCAGCGTTATCCCGGTTCCAGCTACGTGGAAAGCTCCGTAGTTGCATTCCGTAGTGGTCGCAGCGCACTGGCCATTGCACTTCTTAAGGAGGACGCTAGTGTACACAGAAAGGTTGTGATGTTTTTGTTACTTGGCCAGTGGGAACTTGCGTTACATTGGGCGGATCTTGGCGACGACGCCGATCTTATTCATCTAGCACTTATCTATGCTATATCATCGGTGGAGGATCATTCTAAGCTCTTCAACGTGCTATTGGGCCATCCAACGGTTTTGGCATGGATGCTGCTCGGGGCACGGCTGTTGCCGGCATGGCGAACGCTTATCAATGGAATATGTATGAAGCAATTTGACTTCAATATCGCACTTTACTGTGCACGTAGCTGCATTGCACGTGCGCTTGAAGGGGGCAAGGGTAAAGCCAAACAAGAGTCGTCAGGGCGGTCGCAGGCGCTGTTAAACGAAAATGCGTCTCAGACGATCGCAGAACAATTTTATATGCCTCCCGATGGGAAAAGTGATAACCGTACTTTCACAACGGTTGATGCACAACTCGAGTCCATACTTCGTGCATTAGCGCCACCGTCCCTAGATGACGCCTTGGCTGCACTCGGGGAGTGTCGAAAGGTGGAACGCATTGTCCGTGGAAGTTTTGGAGAGGTTGGCTCCGCCACCGCCACGAAGATCTCTTCGACGGTGTTTTCACCCATTTTTGCCGAGACGAGCGACGGGGAATGGCGGTGGCTCTCTATGCACTTTGAGCTCATAGAAATTCAAAAACGTCTTGCAGCGGAGCACGCTGACCCACGCTTTCTTCGAAGTAGCGTTGGGCACACCCTCTATCTCTGTCTCACACACGGCGACGAAGGGAAAGCGAAAGAATTACGAGCCAAGTACCGTGTCAGCGAGAAGAAGTATACCTATACAAAGTTATGTGCCCTTTGTGACACTGGGAGATGGGCAGAGGCGGAGAAACTCGGCGGGGTGTTGGGCGGCCGCATCACCTCCAGACCGTCTATCGGTTACCAGCCATTTGTTGAGCAGTTCGTTCTCCACTCGCGGGTGGAAAGCGCGTTGCTTCTCATACCAAAATTAGATGATGTCACTAGACGAGTAGACTGGCTCATGCACTTGCAGCAGCCGCGACTGGCTATTGATGATGCCTTCCGTGAAAAAGACGCGGACCTCATCCAGCATGTTTTAAAAAGGACAACCGACCTGCCAGTTCGGGAATACGGACTACGGTGCCTACAGGAGCTAAAATAAGGAAAACAGATTTATTATGGTGTCATGTTTTTTTTTTTTTTTTTTGCTTTTATCCAGATTCAGATAAGTACAGCTTGAAGATTCTTAAAGGTAAAAAAAGGGTATTGATTTCTTCTGCTGACACCCATTAAATTCCGAACTTTCCCGTCACTCTCTGCCTGCGGGTGCATGCCGTCGAGCCGTGCTGGCTGTATGCTTCTTGCACGCCGAATTTTTCTCCATTTCTTGCTTCCCGCCTTTTCCATGCAGACGATCTTACTCACTTACTTACCTAAGCGACGCCACCAATGCAAGAATGAACGCTGTGCAGCCAGTGCTATTTGGCACGTTGGCACTCACGTCTTGTTTCGCATGTGCATGCGTGAGAGCTTTGAACGCCCGGTAAAAGCGGGCTGTACGTAGGCGAGGAATCATTTTCAGTCAACGTCACCCCCGGCCCACGGTGTGGAGTTTTTGAAATTGGTGACGTGAACGGGCAGGCACCGTTTTTGTGAGGGCGAGGAAACTGTCAAAATTACTATTGCCGTTGTTGCTTTAGATGCAGCTTGTCGAATCAAGGGACAAGAAGTGGGGAATGGTGACACCTTGCCTTGCGCATCAGACGGCGGTGAGCTCTCTTGGTGAGTGCGTGCGCCGCAGTTACTACTGCTGCCGCTTGTACTGCTGGTTATGGTGTCTGTTGCTGCAGTTTGAATTGGGTGGTACGGATGGGGACAACGGTCATAAATTGCATTTGGACTAAAATGAAGCAAAGAACATTAATAATAACGTTTTGCTACTCTTTGCTATCCAGAAACATAATCTTTTTTTTGTCTCTGTGTGTGCTATTTGTTTCCTTGCATTGCTTTGAGTTATCAATGATCCCCGTATAAGAAATGGGACATTTATTGAAGGTGTTGGTGATTGGAGGTGGACGTTGCTGGTGCGTTTTTCTTTCTCTTTTTTTTGTGTGTGTTTTATACTGCATGCCTGCTTTTTTATTATTACTATTTATTTGGTGGGAAAAAAAGGATGCAGTTGGGGGGGGACAACTCACGTTCGGTCTCCATCGTTATGAAGCAGGCGGGGATTCAATCGACGCAACGCATGATTCCGGATGATGCTTCTTTGCGTCGTGCTGCCATTGTCGACGTGGTGTTGCTGTACTGCTCGGATGTTTTGTTTCCGTCCGGGTTTTGTGTGGCGGCTGGTGGAGATTCTGCTTCCGCTGAGACCTGCGATGGGGCGGAAACGCGCTGTTCCCATTTGCTTGAAGAAAATGCGGCGGCCGGGGATCTTTGCGTGGAGCGTCTCTCGGGCGGTATTACGAATGAATTGTTCCGTGCGCATCACCCATCCGATCATACCCGCTCTGTTGTGGTGCGGGTCTTTGGAAGGGAAACGGAGCGTGTGATTTCGCGCGAGAGCGAGTTCTTTTACCAGTCACTTTTTATCCCCACCTACGTGCGTGGCGCGAACTTTCTTATTTATCAATTCTTCAACCAGTACGAGGTGCTGCCATTCACGGAGATGTCATTAGAGGCGAGTAAGATGGCCTGCGAGGTGGCGGCGTTCCAGGTGCGGGCCACACTAGAGTCCAAGTGCGATCACCAAAACCCGCAATTGTCGGGGGAAGAGCGGGCGTACTGGGACGCGGTCGGCGTGACGCTTGGAAGCAACTCTTCCGCAGAGTTTGGCACGTGCCGATTTGATCGCGAGGAGAATTACACCCTACATGCACTGACGAAGTGGGCGGAGCAGATGTTGTCTGAGGGAGTTCTCAAGAAGGTGTCTGCGAAGAAACGGGCGGAATATGAAGAGGCCGCCAGGCATTTGGAGGGAGAGGCGTCGTGGATGCGGAAACTGCTTCTCCGTCACGCATCAAGTCTGGGGGAGAGTGTATGCCACAATGACCTTCTTAGCGCAAATATTATGCGTCACAGATTGAATGGGATGCTTAAAATAATTGACTTTGATTACGTAAAGAGAAACTATTTTCTTTTTGACATTGCCAACCATTTTAATGAGTACGCGGGGCTGGAATGTGACTATGACCGGTACTTTCCTTCCGATGAGGAAATGTCAAGATTCATAGGGATCTACAGGAAGGCAATGCGTGCGGAGCTAAATAAATGCCGTGAAGACGCACGTTGCAGAGAACTGGGTGAGATCATTCCTGGGCAGAGTCACTTTTTTATGTGTGCGGCAAACAGAGAAGAAGAACAGGAGGAAGAGCAGCGGACAATTGCACATTGGGTGAGGCTTGTCAAACTTCTTACATTAGCATCGCATCTCTCTTGGGGCATTTGGGCCTTGCTTCAGGAGGCGGTTTCGGCGCTAGAAATGGACTTTTTAGTCTACGCCAAGTGTCGTCTGAAACGTTATCTTGAAACAAAGTACACATTTTCCGCAGGGTTTAATTGAGCAATGCGACACGCATGACATGGACACACACACACATACAAATGCATAGCTTGAATCCATGTGAAAAGCAAAAATATTTCTCTTGTAGAATATTTTTTTCTTTTATTTATTTGTTTTTTCTTTTTATCTCTCTACCCGCTTGTGTTGTCTGACTTCTGTGTTCCCTTTTTTTTTTTTTTTTTTTTTGCTTGTCATTTTGCATTTTTTCTGCATGTGTTGGCTGAACTGTTGTTTTTGTGGCTCTCCAACAGAAGCTGCGGCGTGTTGCGTGGAATCAGGGTGTTTGAGACAAATGCGTCAAGGCTGCCGCATGCATGAATGTGACGTCAGTGATGTGTCAGCCGCTGCAACGGAGGAGGCTGTGGCTAACGTAATAGCAGCAGCAGCCAACTGCTCTGACGGGTCAGACGTCGTGTTGATTCGGCTGCGCCTCCTGCACGGGCCGAGTGAAACTCACACGGGGTGGAGTCGGCGGGAAAAGGATATGCTTTTGCTGTGCCTTGACCGCTCAGTGCCGCGTGTGTGCCCGCCGATTGACCCACTGCAGTACACGCAGACTCCGCCGGAGTTTCTATTGGAGAACGGGGTACGTGTGGTGCGTCTAAGCATCACGCCCTCTTCGCGTTACTCTTCTTTCACCACGGTGCCCCATCGGGTGGAGGGAAGTTGCCTGCGGCCACATTCGACGTCGGCAGACATCACGGACAATAACAGTGCTTCTGCTGCGGGTGCGGTAGAGGACAATGAGGATGTCGCAAATACGACGCGACTCGCACGCCGGCGTTGGAGGAAAGCTGCATGGATGACGGCCCGCATCTTCAACGAGGGCGGTTGGTATCATGCGGAGAGAAGATATGCCAAAGTTCACAACGAGAGAGTTGGTAGCGGTCGCAATACCGTGAACAGTGAGAACATCCTCGATGCTGCCATGCGCCTTACTGAAAAGCGTCTTCTTCATGTGGATGTGTTTGGAATGGAATTTATTGGAGTCATTGTGGCGCTGACTTCGCGTTACGCTTACGTGGCGGTCCCATTTTTCCAAGACGGGCGGAGTATTCCTCATTGGACGCTTGTCAGCCGTTTGGGAATACCTTCTTTGCTGGAGGAAGAAAAAAAAAAAAATTCAAGAAAGCGTGAAAGGAGCGATCGCGTGGTGGATGATTCGAAGTATTTTTTGAATGAAGAAGAATTAGTGTCGCATGATGCGAGGCCGTTATTGCGTCTCCCGCCTGATCACTGTGTCCGGGTGGTATTGCGGGCACATAAGGTTTATTGCAAGCATCAGCGCAGTGTGATTGATGGACAGGCATTGATTTCTGTTGCCTTTGAAGATGCGGCTATTATTAGTTGCACAGCAGTGGGAGATAAAAACAACTTTATGGAATCCCTTTCAACATATTCGGATGTTCTGCAGATTGTGCAGGCAAGTTGTGCGCGGTTTCTGCGCGGGTATGGCAAGTATACGGAGATGCCTGCCGACAATGCAGGGGAGCGCCTGTTCACTGCGCTAACCGACACAGTCTCGGTTCACTTGAAGAAGTTACGCGGGAGAGAGGGTCAGTCACCCGTGACGGTTTCATCACCGCAAGAGATTCCAACGCTTGTTGAGGGGACTTGTGTTGAATTCAAGGCGAAGGTTGAAAGGTGGCAGGACAGTGCGGACGACATTTCTCCGGGGCAGAGGAGACACTCCACTGTGAACCTTGAGCGTATTCGGCATACCGTTGCTGCCATGGCATCCACGATGGGTGGTGTTCTTCTTGTTGGTGTCACCGATGATGGGGAGGCGATTGGCCACGCGAGGGATGCTCTGAAGGAGTTGCGTCTTTCAGGCTTCTGCCCGGCGATGGTAAAGGGCACCGTCACAGTCACTGAGATGCGTGCCGTGTCGGGGGATCGCCCAACGACGATGCCGAAAGACTGGTGGAAGAAGGCCAACCCGCAAAAGCGAGAGCAGCAGACGGTGGAGGAGAAGACGGATCGTGTCGTGACCGTCATCACGGTGAAGCGCGGACCGGCACCCTTTTACACGACGTCGCGGTGTTCTGTACCGTACACACGGGGTTTTGCCAGCACAGTTCCTCTGCATGTTGTCGTTTGTGCGCGGCGCATCGCTGATCTACTGCCGTAGTCCCAGCTGTGTGACGGGCATTGATATAAGCGAAGGGTAAAATAAGGTCGGATAAACCGTGCCTGGAGTAAACCCCATGAACAGAAGGGGTAGAAAAGCAGAGACAAAATAAAAATGGAGGGAAACGCACTGAATTACTTTTTACTCTCTCTCTTTCATCCACGTTGTCTTTTTCCTCGCTTTTTTTCTTGGCTGGCCGCTTCCGCTGCACACATACACACACAAGGTGGGGGAAACGGCGAGTTAACACGACACAGAGACAATAAGAAGGAAAGAAAAGAAGGGGCGAGGCGGCAGAAGTAGGAACGAAGGGAGGAGACAACTTTTTGCCGTGGTTCCATCCAGTTGATTAGACACTGCGCATACATTTGGAGGTACCATGTCGTTCATAAAAGATCTTTTCCACCGCGAGACGCCGCAAGAGGCGATGCGAAAGTACAAGCGCGGTCTTGACCGCACCATTCGCGATATTGATCGTGAGCGGAACAAGTTGCAAGTCCAGGAACGTAAAATTGTTATCGACATGAAGAAGATGGCAAAGCAGGATCAGATTGACTCGGTGCGTATCTTGGCACGTGACCTGGTGCGTACTCGGAAGTATCAACAAAAGATGTATCACATGCGTACACAAATCCAGGGCGTCGCACTTCGTATCCAGACAATGCAGTCTACTGGGCAGATGGCAACCGCGATGAAGGGTGTGGCGAAGGCCATGCGTGGCATGAACAACAGAATGAACATACCCGAGATGCAGCGGGTCATGCGGGAGTTTGAGAAGCAAAATGAGATGATGGGAATGAAGGAGGAGATGATGAACGATGTCATTGACGATGTGATGGACGACGATGGCGAAGAGGAAGACGAAACAGAGGTCGAGATTCAGAAAGTGATGGACGAGGTTGGATTAGAGTTTAAAAGCAAAATGGGCATCACGGACTCGATGTTGCCAGCAAAGCAGCAGGAGGATGCGGAGGACGATAAGGAGCTCGAGGCGCGTCTCGCAGCGCTAAAATCTTCAATGAAGTAAAGTAGAAGGTGTTTTTTTTCTCTCTCTTTCTCTCTTCCTGTTTGTGTGTGCATGCCCTTTTCTTGGATGTGGCATTGCTTAGTTGTCGTCTCATCCCGGCCTCACCTTCCCAATGCTCCCGGTTCCTCTCTACAATTCAACATACTGCGAGTAAATGAAACAAACGACCAAATATGAGAAAAAAGAAAAAAATAAAAATAAAAATAAAAATTACTCTGTGTCTTGTTTCTTCCCGCTATTCGTTTGCCCACTTGTCACTGCTGCCGAACTTGTCTAACAATTTAAAGAAAAGAAAAAAAAAAAGAGTTTTTTTTTTTTTTTGTGTGTGTGTGTGTCGGGGGGTATTTTGTTGTCTGGCAGCCACTGGATTTGAGCAAACATACCACATACTCCAAAAAGGGGAAAATATATATTTAAAAAGGGAGGGAAGGGAAGTGGCGATGTCTGCATTAACTGAGAGTTTATTGGACCTCCACAAGCGATGGTACGAGCGGCCGCTGCCGTTGCGCTCCTGCAGCCTAAAGGAGGTTGCAAACAGTGCGGTTTCAAAGGATGATATGGACGCGATGTTTCGCGAAGCGCAGGAAGCCCTTGACGCCGAGACGACGCAGAGCCAAAAGGACAAGGGACGCTGGTACAACTCACAGTTCATCTCCCGTGGAACAACGGCGGATAAGATTGCCTCTGCTGCAGTGAAGCTGAGCGACGTGGATTTTATGTTCTTTTTGGATGGGTTTAATCTTCTTTTTGACACAGCACGCACCGACACACACCACTACGAGGCGGCTCTCAAAGGCCTTGCTGTTGTTTGGCCCAAACTACTGCCCCGTCGCCCATTGAAGCGCTTTGTGTCGCAGTTTTTTGCGACGCTTCCAACGGATGCGAGGGACCGGAAGACAGTTCTGGTGTATTGGTACATTGAAGACTACTTAAAGCGCACCTACGCTCAGTTTCTTTCACTTGCGGAGGCCATGCTGAAGGACCGACTGCAGAAGCGACGAGAAGCGTGGCTAGAGGTTGTGGGGAAACTTATGTGTAGTATTGCAGAGAGCCGTCATGTGGCTATGGCAATTATTGTTGATAAGCTTGGCGATCCTGCTTCCTCTGTGGCACATAAAGCGTACCATCACTTGCTTGCCCTCCTAACGGAATCTTCTACGCACCAAGCGATGTTGTTTGTGGAGTTGGAAAAAATTGTCTTTATGAAGAATTGCCCTGTAAACACGATGAAGTACGCTGCTAACGTTATGAATCAGTTTGTGTACAACAAGGAGGAGCGAAAACTTGCATTGAAAAGTGTTCAAACGTACCTTTCTCTCTTTCGCCAACTTGTGATGAATGCCTCGGTGGATCTTTCCGTGACAACCGCTATCCTCGTAGGTTTGCGTCGTGCATTTCCATACGCTGGTACAGACATTGCACCACTTGAAGAGCATTTAAATGCACTTTTTGTTCTTGCCAACACGGGTAGTTTCATGCAGCGCGTAGCGACTCTTTCTCTTTTGCAGCTTATAGCTCAGGGAAAGGGTGCAACGGAGGAGTTTCGGAATCGCTGGTATCGGGCCTTGTACAATCTCCTGTTGATATCACCGAAACAGCTTTCCCATTCCACACAAATGGCGGGTTTTTTTTCCATGTTGCACAAGGCGCTGCGTATGGACAAAAATGAAGAACGATTGGCGGCCTTTGCACACCGGCTGATACAACGATCGCTGTATTTTAAGGAGTCTGTGGTGTGTGCCATCCTGCTTATGGTTGGCGAACTGTTCCAGGCGCATCCGCGTCTGCGTGCGTTGGTTTTGGGAACGCGAAAGAAGCGGTCTACGGATGAGGCGGAGCGTTATGATGTGAGGCACCGGGAGCCGCAATTTTCACAAGCCACAAAAGAATCCTTGTGGACCCTTGGGACTCTTGTACGACATTCCCATCCATCGGTTGTGAAACTGGCGGTGATGTTGATGTTTCAGGAGGACGTTGTCTTTGATAGCCACCCGCTGGACGAGCTTACGTTGCCAAATTTTCTCACGATGTTTGTTGATGCCAAGGCGCAACCGAAGAAGGAGGAGATGAGCACAGGAATGTCTGTATTCAGTCGTGCTGTGCACGCCCCAAATATTCCTAGTGCCTCGGATCCGTATTTTATTCAAGCGAGTGCACAGCAAGTGGATGTCTCCGCACTTTTCCTTCACCGCTACGCCGTTCAGCGCCAGCGTTTTGTTGATGGACTTTCGCAGGTGCGCTCCACATGGGGTGACGCCAGCGGGGAGGCGGATGTTGCGCTACGCGTTAAGGATGTTGATGCCTCGCTCTTTGGACCCTCTGGCATGCTGAGGGAACCCAAAACCACAGCGAGTGGCGGAGTCAACGGCGAGAGCACAAAAACAGAGAGAAAAAAACTGTCCAAAAAGGAGAAACGGAACAAAGAGAAGCCTGTGGAGTTTGACGAGGAAGTGCTGAGCAACGACAGTGACAAAAATGAAGGGCATCACAAAGACGATGATGAAGACGATGGGTTTGACTTTGTTGGGAGCGACGGGGACTTGGAGTGGGGCAGCAACGACGAAGCGGCGTACGATGATCTCGACAAGGACGACGAGGAAGAGGATTACGAAGACGACGAATATGATGATGATGATAACGTCGATGACATTGCATTGGGTGGTAAGAAAGGTTCAGCTGAAGTGGACGGCGAAGACCTCGCCGAAATACTCGAGTCGAATCGCAAAGGCATGTCGAAGAAACGCCAACGCGCAGAAGCGTGGCTTGACCGCGCTACGTCCACATCTGCGGCACCTTCATCGCAGTCAACTCCCTACAGCCGCCGCCGCCGCCACCACACATGATGACGGTGCTGGGGACGGCGAGGGGAAGGCGGGGTGGTTGGTGTCTGCATTCTCACTTGTTTTTTTTATCACTGTTCATATGGGGAGGGTATGCCACCATATTGTGTCGAGACGCAGCCTCGGCTTGTTGAATGAAAGGAGTAAAACAACAGCGTGGTGATGGTGCGGCATGATGAATGCGGTGGGGAGGAGGTGTAAGAAAAGAAAAAGAAGAATATATGAAGTTAAACAAACACGTCGATTAATTCATGAATGCAGGGACGCGTTCTGTGGGTCCGCATCAACTGTGACTCACCTTTGTCATTAATTTGTTTTTATGGATGAATGGTGGGTATCCTTTAAACTGTTGATTGTGATGGCCCGTTATGGAATTGCGTGTCGGGTTTGATTGGATGCATCTATTTTTATTGCATTTTCTTTTTTTCCTTTTTTGCCCATTCTTACGCAAACACGTGTGTAAGTGTGTATACTCCAACGGGCACAATTATCCAACATTTTTTTTTTTCTGTTTCAGGAGCAGCTCATCCATTTCTTGTGGTTTTTGACTTATTTGCCTTTTGCCGCGCGTGACTTGTGTGAATTGTTCTTGTGCGACATGCCGCTTATTGTCCCGACTCCACCTGCGCATCCAGCGCAGTCGCCCAACCAGGCAAATGGCGAGTTGCTCGGGCGTCTCATGAAACTCTATCGTGCGCTATGTGTGCGTCACGACGAGTTGGGACAAGAGGTCATCCTGAACGACATATTGGCCTTTCTGACACGAACTCACCAGCACGATATGGCGGAAAGTGTCATCGCCACCTGTGAGATTAGTCTGCCGCACCGCTCCAACAATCAGGCGGCACGCTACTTCTACTACGTTGGACTCACGCGTGCTCTTCGGCTTGAGTACGTGGATGCGAACCAGTGCCTGCAGCAGGCTCTGCGCAAGGCTCCTGAGCGTGCGTTTGGCTTTCGTGTCGCGGCGACCAAACTTGCGCTCGTGGTCCAGTTGCTGCTGGGTGAGATTCCGCCCCGTTCGGACTTTTTGCAGAAGGATATGCGGGAGAGTCTTTCGCCGTACTTGCAACTTGCCTCCTGTGTGCGATTTGGGCAACTGAGTCGATTCATGTCCATTCTGCAGCAGCACAAGAACATTTTTGAGCATGATCGCACCTATTCTTTAATTTTGAGGGTACGGCAGCATGTCATCAAGACTGGGCTGCGCCGTATTTGTCACGCGTATAGCCGCATTAGTATACCTGACATCTGTTTCAAACTCTCCATGGAAAATCCTGCCGATGCAGAGTACATTATTGCCAAAGCTATTCGTGACGGTGTCATTGACGCCGTAATCGACCACGAGAAGGGTCATCTCATCAGCAGTGACACCGTGGATGTGTATTCCACATCTGAACCACTTCTAGCCCTGCAGCGCCGCATTCAGTTCCTCAACGTCACACACAATGATGCCAAGCGGTCGATGCGTTACACCGCAGCTGATCCTGAGCTCGAGGAGGAGCGAAGAAAAGTGGATCGCGAAGAGATGGATTCTGCTCTGCGTGCTGCCCTGGAAGATGAGGAATTGGGCGGCACCGATTTTGAGGATGGTTTGCCGTAGCCGGTTTCTATGACGGTTGTGAGCAATAAGCAAGGCAGTTCATGAATGTGCCCTTTTAATGCATTTTTGCTGCCACAATTGTTTTCTTGACTAGACGGGACTCCAAATATCACACGCGACTCCCATAACTTTATAAAAAGGAGGGGAGAGGGGTTGCTGCTTTTGAGAGTCCACGGAATAAGAACAGGAAGGGGGGGGGGGGGGGAAAAGAGAAAAAATTGAAAGGAGAGACACACGCACAAAAAAAAAAAAGAACACGGAGGAAACAAGATGAGTACTTATTGCATACATGTATATTTATATGCGCCGTTGTTTGATGCAGAGACATATAGCTGTTGACGTAGCAGTTGGTTTCTTTTGATTACGAAAAAAGAATATTTAAAGAAAAATGCATTGGTGATGTGACTGTGGTGTTATATATATATATATATACATGCGCCTTTTCGTGGTCTTTTTTTTTCTCTTCTTTTCTTTCGCCTTTATGCAGTGGGATATTTTTTTTTGGCGTGATTTGTGATGTGTATGGGTCCCTTTTCATGTCTGGTGACGGGCATTGTTTTCACTGTATTCGTTTTCTTTTGTTATTGCTTTTGTGTGTGTGTGCTTGCTTTTTTTTTTTTTTCTTCTTTTTTCTCTTTCTCTCTTGTTTGGCATGCACTCCCAAGAAGAAGAGGAAAAAAAGAAGCGGTTGGAAAACAATGAGTGAGGTCTTACCAAATGAAAGTGTTCAACAGAAGAACGATGAAGAAGGAGAAAAAAGTGAGCAGAAAAAGGAAAGTGACGCCCCTCTTCAACCGGAAAATGATGAGTTTGCCAGTGAAGCGGTGTTGATGTCTTTTGTGCCGCCGATCCCTGTGGACCGTCTGGAAAATTTGGAAATGTCTTTCTCCAGGCGCCGCTCATTACGAAATTGCTCTATTTCCATCTCGAGAAATGTTGACACGGAATGCGGCATTTCTTTACGCTCTGCCCCCACCTCGTGTAGGAGCTCCAAAGTTAGCAGCCTTCGTACCAAAGGCAGTGTGCCTGAAGGCCTTGAGAGGGCAGTCGCCATGGTTCAAACGTACCCGCTTATGGCTGTCGAGGGCACCGCCTTTGAAAACCAGATTCTTCGTCACGGCACGGGGGAAAGCGGGGTGGCGGCTTTTGCCGGACGTTCGCTCACTTCAACTTCAAACACTGAGGAGACAGAGTCGTCTATTTCGGATTTGACTGAGGTGCTGGGTCGGCTGCGTACAGGCAGTAGTGCGGTTCTTTTTGCATCGCGTCTAAAGCGAGCATGCATGTGGAATGCGATTATTGTGAACGTACTAGCTCATCGCGCATGGCATGAGTCATTTCGCCTTCAACGTCTTCGTGCAACGTTGGAGTTGTTACTTCTGCCTGTTCTATTGCGGAAACGTGGAGAGAAAAAATCGGGAAAAGGACATTTTTTTCGCCCGCGCCCCCGTGGGCCGTGTGTATTGTGTGATGATGAGGGTTTAAAGCCACAAGGGAACTTCATTTGGGAGCACTCTGCTTTTTTTCGTAAACTGGGAAATCTGAAGTTCTGTGAGGAAGTTGCGGAGATTGTTGTTCGTTACCGATATTCCGCAGGAGACCCGATTGTTTCCGTTGGCACACCTGCACAAGATGCCATGTACATACTTATTTCCGGTAATTGTGATGCTATCATTTCTTCCGATGAACCGAACGTTCCTGTGAGACGCTCAAGACTGGCGGTCGGTGAGGGGTTTGGTGGGCTGTACGGTGGAAGGGAGGTTTTCACCAAGTTATACCGATCCATCTCCCAGTGTATTGTCTGGGTGATTAAACGTGAGGAATTTGAATCCACTTTTTCTCAACATGCAGACGAGCACATGAAAAACGCGTATTTGGACGCGCTGAAGAAACATAATATGGAGCATCTGTTGCGTGATTACCCCATGCCTCAGTGTATGTCACGTGTACCGATTTACCGCCGCATTGATGGATTGATTGAGGAGTACGCAAAGGATTTTGTGCCAATAGTTTTAACAAAAGGAGATATTCTCTTTGAACAAGGGGATCGCCCTGGTGATGTCTATTGTCTTGTGGAGGGCCATGTTCAACGAGAACAGACTGGAGCAGACATGAGATATGAAACCGGCACGAAGCAAATTATCTCTCCAAATGAATCCGACAACAACTTCTCACTCAGCACTCGTTTTGTGCTCTTGGGAGAGGAGCCACACATTTTGCCGGGCCTGTTGCGATACCGATGCACGGTGTTCAGTCGTGCCGCTTTGTTTTACAAGATCAAAGGTGAACGTTTTGTTGATGCTTTGCTGGACGACGCCAAGCTCTTTCTTTATGTCCGAGAGAGGCTCACGGCTCAGATACGTCAATCTATGCGAATATCTCCCGATGCTCTCGCCAAAGTGCCTCTTCTGAGGGAAATGCCGACTCTCCATCTTAACGCCATTGCAAATGCTGCTGAACCTCGTGTCGTGGAACGGTGCATCTCAATATGTGACCCCGCGCAATCCGTTCGGGAGATTTATTTGGTGGTGTCAGGCGACGTGCGGGATCCTCGCAATTTCAACCGCACAACAACGCTGCCAATGTCGCCTCCCGCCAGCGAGGACGAAGAGGCGGTGGAAAATACAAATACAAAGGGCAAAAAAGAGAAGAATGTCAAAATTGCTCCCCCAGGGCGCGGAAAAGGAAAGGGAACTTTAGCTGTTCATTCTCCTAACGAAACCCTGGGTGTGCAAAGTCCTCATTTTAAAGATTCCGGAACGGCGTTTGGGAACGCAGAGACCACACACTTCCAATGGCATTTCTTTCACAGAAACAGCAAGGGTGAGTTCTCGAGTGGCGTCATTTATCCGGACGAGCAGCATGAACTCACACCACCACTTCCGCCGAACCCCGCAAAGAACTTTATTTGCACCGTCGGTGGTGGATGGGAAGGACTTCTTTTGGAGAAGTGGCCGAATGGATGGGAGACGACCAACACCGTCGAGCTCTGGGCTATTCCCACCTTGACCATACGGACGGAATTTAACAGTTTACCAAAGTCGTTACAAAACTCGATTCTGATGCTTGCCCGTACAACGCAGATGCACGCCCTTTGCTTGCCATCCATTGTGGTGGCGAAACTGCCACCCATGAGTTCTTTTCTGCCACCAGAGAAACGCCTCACAAAACAGGGCTTGGGAATTGAGAAGAGTCCCTCTCAGGAAAAGAGTGCCGCATCTCACCCACGCAAGTATGCTGGGAGTGGCCAATCACACGAGCGTTCCACAGCAACAGGCAATAGGCACGGACGCGCCGCCGGTGATCTCTCGGGATCGCATGCAAGTATACTAAGCGGATCATCAGCATTTTTTTCTACGAATGACACAAGCGGCTCAAAGAGAAAAAATTTACCGAAATTGACGTCGCGGCCCCCAGGCCCTGACTCCAATGCAAAGAAAAGCCTACGCCGATGGACCAGGGGAAAAGATATAAAAAAGGTGGCTGAAACCAAAGAACTGGCGTTTGCTGGGGAGGAAACGCCTATTGAAGCACCAAAACCCAAAGCGGGACCTCCGCCGCTCCTCTTTATTCGAAAGAACGCTTCCAAGGGGGTAGAAAAGCCGCCCATAATTACCCCCGAGATGTGTGCGATTTATGCTGGACAGGAGCCAGAGAAAGGCATTATTCAATACCCGCAACTGCCAGAAAACAAACGCATGGTGAAGGTCAGAAATTTTACGATGCCTGCCGATCAAAAACCCAGCTGGCCAGTGGTAGCTGGGGGGAAGAAGCAGTGGTTTCAGGTGGTGCCAAGTTTTGCTCCCCTTCCAGGTACAATCCATAACCAAAGCTACATAGCCAGTGTACCAAACCTCTTGCCGAACGCAGCGTTGATGGTAAAACGAGATAAAGGGTGTGGCGAAGTATTGGCCTCTCAAGCAAACTACTTTGCATTTCTGGCACACAGAAAGCGTCAGCATGAAATGGGATGTGAATCACCATCACCACCCTCAGCTGCTGAACCAAAAATCTCTTCTTCCGACGCAAGATCACTTTCGCCGCAAATCATGGGTCGGCCCGTTCCTGGGCGACATGTGTATTGTGTGTAGAAGAGAAAGAAAGACAAAAAGGTTGAACAAGGAGGAGAGAGAGAAGAAGTGGTATTTCAAGAAGACATGTCACGCACATATATTTGCGTGAACAAGGCTGTGTTTCCTGTTCTTTAACGCCGAATGGAAGGGAGAATTGGGAGAGAGAGAGAGAGAGAGAGAGGGAGAAGGGGAGAGCTGCGGGTGGAAAAGGACTTTGACAGCACAAAGAGACCGAACGAAAAATGAAGTGGGAAAATAGTGACATTTACACGACAGTCTCTCTCTCTATTTCTGCGTGTGTGACAACTTGGGAGTGTGCGGTCTCTAACTCCTTATTGTTGTTGCTGTTGTTTTATTATTTCCATCTTTTCGGCTTGCAATGTGTAATTAGCCTCCGTATATGTATTTTAGACAGACATCTAACCCTTTACACAGGGACACAAACAAACAAAAAAGTATTTTATAAATAATGACATGTGCGGCGATACTTTTGTTCGACTGTTCATGTTCTCATGTGTATGAGGAGTTTTCTGTCATTTTTGCACCGTGGTTTCATTATCATCATTACTTATTTTGTTTGGTCTTGGATTTGCGCGATATTTAAGCTGTTCTTTTTATGGTTGTCGTTTTTTTTTTTTTTTTTTTGGTTTATTCTACGAAAGCAATTTCTTTCCTTTTTTTCCCCCTTTCTCTCTCTCGCTCTCTTTTATGTTCCCCACTCCGCTCAATCAACACAAAACGATACATGCGGTTTTTCCCCCCCCATTCATTGTCAACTGAAGGAAGGGCATATCCGGTCTTCAGGATGAAGAACTGGGCCCTGAGCGAAAATGGGGCCAAAGTGGTAGAGGTTTCGCACGAGGCAGCCCATGTTGCAAGTGCGGCCTCCAATCTTCTTGTGGAGCGCGAGGACCTTCTTTGGATTACTTCTGACGCGCCGCAACATGTAACGTTAAAACTTTCTCCTCATCACCCAACTCTGCGTTATGTTGGTTGGCATGTTTGGCATGACTACCTCACAAACCCAAAGACGGTGGAGATTGCATCCGGTGAGTCTACTGAGGACATGATGGCGCAGCTGATATGCCAGGCCGTCTCCGGTGCCGGAACACAAGTGTGGAAGTTGCCTAATGCGATTCCACCGAAGCATTTGTTTGTTCGAGTTAAGATATTAGAGACGTTTGGCCCAGGGCCTACGTATATGAACAATGTGGTTCTATTTGCCAATGATCCTGGTACCCGGTTTCGAGCCGCTCGCAGCACCGAGTTAACCTTACCCAAAAATAAGGAAGGATCACCGGCACGTATGAGTGTGTTACTCAAAGAACTGGATGAGGATATCCGTGCTCTGCACCCCATAAAGACAGTAACACCAAATAAAAACATGTTACTCTACGTTCCACAGGAACCCACGGTGGTGTTTCAACAAGAAGATGCAGAGGATGAAGAAACCACGTCACCGACACTACGTGATCCTACCGAAAGACAAGGTAGTACTGCTATGAATAGAACTCCTTCGTATGGTATCACACAGGAGCGATCGGAAACTGTGACTCCTGGGTATGCGGCACAGGCTGGCGGCTCAGCGGAAGTTTCTCGAGGGTTCAACGACCGTCTGTGTGCACTGGAGCAAGCTGTCGCCTCCCTCACGCAAAGCATGAATCATCAGCGAGAAGATTTGACTATGATTAAGAGGCTACTTCTCCAACAAGCTTCCGAAAGAAGACGCGAATTGGAGCAGAGAGTTACTGCATCCGAGGCTTTGTCGGCCAAACAACAACTGCAGTTGCGGTCGCATGAGAAGTTACATCGAGTTTCTCGCCACCAGGTTTCTGTGGACTTTCCTGAAGATGCCCTTCGTTCGTTTGTGGAGAGTGTTTTGGCTCCAAAGCTTCAAAAACATGCGAAGCGCACCGAGGCGCAAACTATAGCCAAATTGGATGGTTTTTTGAAGGATGTTGTTTCAGAAATATCTCTCGCGGTGGACGATCGTGTTCGGTTGCATCTTCAACAAGCCAGTTTAAATAATACCGGGTATTTGCCGTACATGGCCCCGCATAATTTTGAGGACCGTAAGATGGAGCCTATGTATACGCCGCCACGTCTTGCGAAAAGGGATGAGGATTTAATCCATGTGGAATACCGTGTTCCTCCTCCCGCGCCCACCACCGTTCCTCCTCGGCCGGTGGCATCGTCTGCGGCGGCACCACCACCTGTGAGCAGTGTACGTAGTCGACAAAGCAGAGATATTGGAAGTGCTCCGGTATCAATCATTCGTGATATTTCCATGGATGCTGATTTGTTCTCTTCTAGACCTGTAGGAACACCCCAACAATGATGCCTTTATAACCTGTTATTTATACATCTTTGGTTTGTTTGGAACGTGGCAATTTTGGCTCGTCGCGCTGCGTTGACGTTGCAAGGAAGCTGAACTGGGCGAGATTGGTTCTTTTAGAGTTTTGCACATGTTTGCCTTTAGTTATGCGTAGAGAATTGCAACCCGAGTTGTGTATGGGTTGACGATGCCTTCTTTGTTTGTTTGTTTTTTACATTTTTGATTGTTTGTTTGCGTTTGATGTGAGGAAATAAAAGGAAAAGAAATTTTTTATTTTTGGTTCTGCTGTTATTACATTTATTTATGTTTCCTCTTTCTTTTACGTTTTTTTTTTTTTTCTCGCGACGCAGGTGTATTTGTGCTTGTATTTGTATACGTGTACGACAGCGTTTTCATTTTCTACTGGCATGGTGACAAAAGGTGCGTGCGGCATCTGCTGTAAAATGTGAGTTTTCCGTGACCCATTTGTTTTATTTTTATGCCTTTTTTTTATGTTTTTTTTTTCTTTTTTACTTTTTGATTGAATCGAATATTATTTCTGTTCCCATGTTTTGTTTTGTTTGGGTGGCTGCGCTCATTCCCTTTCAGTGAGGGTGTGAGGTGGAAGAGGTGTTAAACATCGTTTGAGGTGCGGAGGCCCCGGAATGCAGTCGAGGCGAAACTCCATGATGTCGCGTGTGTGCCGAAAGTACGCACGCGTTCCAGGACAGCATGGCGACGGCAACATTCCTGCGTTTTACCCCATTGCCATCAACCCCGGCTGGTGGGGTCAACCGTTTGGAAAAGTGAAGGATTCGAAGAGCCAACTTTTCTTCATGTATGGAATCTTTTTCCCCTTTTTGTTGTATTGGGCGTTTGACTTATCATTTGCCCAACGCACGCGCGTTGCCACCGTGGGTAAACGGGCCCTGTACTCGAATACCTTTTTTAGGCAGTTGGACCTGGACGACCCAGATCATGCGATCCGGTACGAAAAGTTGCGTGAGGAAGTAGCGGAGAACAAGTTGGAGGTCCGTTGGGGTGGCTCCAATTTCCTTGCAAGCTACTTGTGGGAACCGGGAGATCCACAGCCAGACATTCGCCGCCAAACACCTCCAGAGCATCATCATTAGCGCCGCAGCATTTAACACCTTTACTGCACCAATTTAGTGGTCGTGTAGAAATTAGGGGAAAAGGAAAGGGAAATATGGGATCAGGTGGGGGGAGGGGTAGGAAATATTATTGGAGCATCGCTTTTTTGCTGTTTGTGTAGTTTCTGCAAAAGGGAATTTGAGGGGGTGGGTAGGTGGGGAAGAGTTAGAGTCGCAGCGCAGGGGCCGTTGTCTGTTCCACTGATTTTGCGTGTGCGTACTGAGGAAAGATGAGGCCGCAAGTGCGCGGGACCAGCCTCTCTGAAGAGAACGTCATTGGTATCGTAGCAGCAGCATAAAAGGAGAGAGTAGACATTTTTCTTTATTCCCACGGTAGGAGAAAAGTTAATTGTGTGAGGATGAAGCTATGACGAGTGGGTGCAAACAAATATATATATATATATGTTCTTGCCCCAATTTCTTTTATCCTCCTTGGTTTGTTTTGATTTATCTATGAGAAATAGATGAGAAGAGATGGTTGGGAGCCTGAGGGCAAAAATTCGTACGATTGAGAGGGTATTTTTGTATGTATGTATGTGTGTATGTATGTTCTTGTGTTGTCAATTATTTATTTATTTATTTATTTATTGTAGGGGAAGAAGAGTCATCTTCTTGCCGATTAGCGGAATTACCACAAATAACCGCCACGACTGAGTTGCGTGGGGGGGGCCCTGGTATTCTCTCAGGCTTTTTTGTTGAGGGCAATGCATCACACCACGTGCGTGCTGCTTTTATGTGGGGCGTGCACGTACTGGGTGATGGCTTTATTGGTTCTTCTTTTGCGTGTTTTGGTGCCCCATCTGCGCAACATGGCGCGCTACGGTGGCCGCCATGCGGTAGAAGCAGCAACTGTGGATGGTAATAAGAATAACGTTGGTGATGGGGTGCAAAAATGTGTGTCTGCTGGTCACAAGGCGATGGGAGATTCCAAAACACACGGAAGTTGGTTTTGGAAGGCTATCGCAGTTGCTGTCGGCGCGCTTGAATGTTCCATTTTGTGTCGCGTGCGATTAAGTCGGAAGCGTAGTTTTTCTGCCTTTTATGTGACAGGCATTGTCTCTTCTTCCCTGATATGGCAGCTGCATTCAAGGCCGTTACCCGTGATCACAATGAGGGTCTTGTCAATTGATGCATTAAACTATTATGAAGCGCTGCCATTGGTAGCATTCTTTATCCACTGTGCCGTGCGCCTGTGGGAGTGTCAGTGCGTTCATTGCTTTCGAGGTGGGCCGAGGGATACTGTGACTTTGTTTGCTGCACTTGCAGGATGCTCCTTTTATGTGATTGCTGCCATTTCCAGTAGTCCCATTGTTTGTTGTGTCACTCAAACGCTGCTTTTTGTTGGTGATGTGCCCCACTTTCCGAGAAGCGTTGAGGCGAGCCGTTCATTTATTTATTTATTGACGGCTACCGTTGTATCTTTTTTTTTTCATTTGTTCCTGCAGAGTCTGCAGATGTTCCATCATGGAATTTTGGCACGGCTGCGGGATAAATCAACTCCTCCGTCCAGTTTATTTGACTTAACAGCGTCGGGTAGGAAACAACACTCTCATGATGCGCATTACGGTGGTGAGGCATGCGTTGAGAAATCAGGCTTCTTTTATCGTTTCCCCAACGCGTATCTGTTTAAATACGTGATGGAACCGCACTATACATGTGAGATTCTGATGTATGTCTTGAACGCTGTTAGCATGTGGGCATGCATCAGCCGTGGCGCACCATCGATAATGGCAGTGTGGCAGTCAAAAGGAGTTCAAAGTACGCTGTTGTTGGCAATGAGCTATGCGACGCCATTGGGCGTCTTGTTGTTTTCACTCTTTAACCTTGCCATTACGGCCTCCGAGCACCGTCTCTTTTGGAACCAGTTGAATGAGAAGCGAGAACGCAAGGAACGAGTTCCTCCTTGGAACTTATTTTACCGCGTATGGTAGCGGCAAGGTTCGAAACGATTTGCGTTTGTGTGTGTGTGGAAGGGTGGGTGGGATTGCATGAGTGGCTGTGAATTTGTTGCACCTCCCTTTTGTGTCTCTTTTTTTTTTTTGAATTTTTTGGTTTACTGCCTGCCGGTTTTCATCGCAGACGTATTGGGTGGGTGGTAAATTTGTTCCAGTTGGCGCATCGTTTTTTTTTTTCGTTGTTGTTGTTTCATACTTTTAAATTTGTGCTGCACGCAGGCTTCCACTCGTCTGTGTGTTGGGGGTGTGAGTGGGTGGGTAGACCTCACGCTGTGTTCCTGATGCGTCATGCCGTCTGTGAACTCGGGGTACACCTTTGAGGACTTCCTCAAGCGCCTGGAGCGCAGTCCCAAGACGCACATGTCACCGCTTTATCACGAGCACCGAGAGCTCTTTTTGCGTCGCCCGGATATGTTTTCACGTGCCGTCCGTTCCGTCACTTGGGAAAAGGGGTGCGCATTGATCGATGCGGCTTACCACTCGCAGCCGATTGCTCTTGTCACATACCGCGCTCTTCTCGCACGTATGCTACTACATAACCAGTACGTGAGGCGTAACGGTTCGGGAAACCCGGTTCCATGGAAGGCGGCCCTGCGAACATATTCCGAGGCCATTCTCGCGCATGGCAATGCTGTTCCGACGCGGATGACGATATCCGCATTGCGTCTTTTGGCACCACAACGTCAGTGGGTGGCCGCCATCTCACTCCTGAAGCTCAGTCAAGCAAATGGGAAGCTGACAATCCACATGCCCATAGATGCGGCTGGTTGCTGTGCAACTCCCTCGTTGTGGAAGACGGCCATGGCACTGCTTGGTCATGTACACACACAGTCACCCAACTTGCTCCCTGAGTGCATTCAAAGTCTTCGACCCATTGGGACGGATGAATCGACGGTCTCTACTGCTGCAAATGCATTGTTAATTGACAAGAATGGTCCAACACCCGAGCAGAAACATGTTCTTTCTATTTTAAATGACGTGGTGGCGTCAGCACCATGGGAGACAGCCTTGTCAAACGAAATGTGTACGTCGTATCTCACACATTTAGTGGCAAGTACAACCTACACAACGCAAGAAAAAACGGAGGCTCTTATATCGGGAACACGGCATTTTTCCTGGGAGGCATTTATAAGGCTGGTGACGGCTCAAGACGCATCCATTTTGAAAATTTCAGGCAACAGTACACCACAATTACCGAAGAAGACCGAAATGGAGAAAAAAACACGAAGGGAGCTGGAGGTATCACCTCTGAACTCACCTTTTTTTAGTGAAAGTTTGCAACTGCTCGAAAACGCGCCCGAGACGGCGGTACCTCTTATTGCGACTATAATAGGCAAGCTTCCCTCGGCCAAGCTTGCGGCAAAGTTTTTGAGTGAGGCAGCTTCCATGTACCGTGGTACTATTGCCACCACTGCGTTACGTCATTCACTCGTTGCGGGTGCTTTATTGCGGAAATGTTCAGAGGAATCTGAGTGGCGTCTTGCGTCTTCTGTGTTACTTTCCATGTCGCCAAGCCCATTGCCTTGTGACGTGGCCACTGCACTTGTATTGCAGATGCGGGAAGCAAAGCAGGTCTCACTGGTTGTAGACATTCTTCAAAAGTCCTTTGTGCCAGCCAAGACCATGTTAACACGGGAGGCCATGGAAGCGGTACTTGTGTGTGTGTTGGCACACAATCGTGCTGTGTCTATGCCAGCCTTTCAGTTTACGCCGGAGACGCTGAAGAGGAGAAGGATAGCCACGGTCCATTGGCTCTCCGCACTGAGTTGGGCGACCGATTTAGTACAGGACGAGGTGGAGGGGCGTATTTTGCGAACGGAATCTGCCGTTTCGGTGGGTTCTGTAGGCCATTCTTTTCCCAAATGTATTCCGCTTCAGAAGCCCTTGTCCTCTCGTATGCTCAGCCTGCTTATTCATA